TCAGGCAGACATAGGGAATCCAGATACATTAGGTATACACTGAATACAGAAGCAAGCAAGAGAAAGGATCAATTGGAGGGAACGTCCTTCTGGACTCGACATTTCAGATCCTCTACTAATTGGATGCCTTAGCAGCAGAGAGAAAACCGCATGTGTATTCAGCATCAGCAACTGCAGACACTAAAACCTCCTGGGATGTTTATGTCTCCACAGATTGGTGAAAGAAAGAATATGTATGTTTGTCTATCTTAGAGTGTTGTTATATAAAAAATAATTGTTTTATTATTCTAAATTACACTTTGGGGTTGGGGTTTTGAGGTAGTTTTGTTAAAAAATGTAGTCTGTATCATTCATGCACATTGTAAAATATCACTTTAAGAACTAAAATAAGCATAAAAATTCAAGGTGATGGTACTCATTGGAACTAAATAACATAAATAATTGTAATCAGGAAACCCTTCAAGTTATTGTTCACATTTTACTTGCTAACAACCATATTATAGATTACATACATTTGACGTTGATGGTATCAGGCGTCTAGAGTTACTTATTAGAAATTATCTATTTTAAAAAACACAAACAGAAAAAAATGTAAAAGGGAATATCTTTTTCAATAATTTTCCCAAGGTGACATTAGCTACTCATAATGACCTTATGAGCTATAAATAAGAGTTGAAGTTCTATGAACTAAACTGAGTCAGTTAATGCAAAAGAATAAGAATTATATAGGATCTATTCACCTAAACAAGCATTTAAAAAAATTATTTTCTATCTTTCCTTGCACCTCCCACACTTTTCAAAGTTATTAGGGTAAAGAGAAAAAAATCTTTACGTTTTTCCTGTGGAAGGAAACATTTAAAAAGCCTATTCTGATCAAAGTTCATATCTAATAAACTTCGTCTTGGACTGACAGACTTTGAGTAACTTGAGAAAAGAAAAATCCTGCAGAACTTGGTAATTTAAAATGAGTAATTATGAAATAACTAATAACTACTAGCTAAAGGTCTATTTGTTAATAAACCTTAGTTGTGGGCATAAAGATTTTAACTGCGTAGGGATTTTTACATTTGTGTTAACAGCTCAATTCTGTTAGATTTAGGACAAAATAGGGTGCTTTTCTTCCCTCTAAGTTTGTATTTGAATCATCAGATGAAAGGATGCTGCTCTTCCATTTAAGACGAACAACACTAAACAAACAAAACAACTAAAATCCAAAAATCAATACAACTTTTTTTATAAGCTAGGCAGTAAATAACTCCAAATTTGAAGTTATGTGTTTACTCTCAGACTCTGGGAGCCTCTGTGGAAGGCTTTCTGAAAACGATTTCAATATTAGCTCTCTGAATGAAGATTTCAATATTAGTGTTTGTTCCCTGGCAGACGCTGCTAGGCTTGGCAGTGGTTTAATGTCAAAGCTCTGTATTTGTTTGGCTGTGTGGTCGACAGCCGGAAATACTGGAACTGTTATCAGCTGTACTTTGCTTACATAAGACAAGCATGTTTTAAACGTTTGTGGTGTTTGTTGAGTCTAATACTAATAAAGAAAAAAACAATCAGACCAAATCACTGCTGCAAAAATTATATGGGGAAAAATGTCTTGCCAAGTACAATTCGCAGAAAACTCAAAAGAATATTAGTTCCTTTGGCATAATTCTTGATTAATTTTAATGTTTATGATGCAATCAGGTAGAGATTTTCAAAAGTTTAGCCTAATTTTTAGGTTATGAAATATATTACAAATGTAATTATCTCCACAACAAATTGGTAAGAAATGTAAAATAAGATGGTATATAATATAAAGAATAACATTTGTATGGTCATAATAGCAAAATAAACAGTGACCAGTTTTTTTAAGCAGTCAGGAAATTTAAAGGTATAGAGGACGATCTTTTATGTTCGGGTGGATCATCTAAATAATTGTCAATCAATGTTGATGTGTTTATGTAAGGCCATACTATGTGCTCATCCTGAAAGCCATACTTTACTGCGCATGCGCACTTTCAGGCATCTGTGGTGAGCTACGGTTTCAGTCATTGAAGCTCACCTTTCTCACCGCGGTTCTTTGAAAATGGCTGGGGGTCATTAGAGAAAAAGTGTCTATTAAGTGTATGAGAAGAAAAGAACGGCTTTAGAAGAGGCAGATATATCCTGGAATGCTTTGCGCAATTATGGGATTTGCTCTCACAGAGGCCCGACAGCAGCGACTAATTACAAAGATGAGCTTTTATGAGCTATGAGAACGGCAACTTTTAAACAGAACGTGCACAAGGAGAAATGGGCTCGTGCATGCTTTCGCACATGCATTTTTTTTTTTAAAGTGTGAAGGGCGGGTTTTTTTTTTTAAAATTTGAGGAAATCCTCTACAATCCCATTAAACATGACATAAATAACTACATTTAAAATTTTTCTTTCAGTAGTCAAATACAGTTTCCTAGAATTCATGCTGTGTATGTTGCTAATATACTATGGTAATAAAAAAAAGACTTAAAGTGACCTGTAGTCCTTGCACGGTCAAACACCCCTCTTGCCTCCACATTACTACAAGCTGTTTAAAGCTAATTAGCATATTACCCATGGGTCCACTCAGCAGTCCCTGACCAGCCTAGTGGAGGACAAAGGGGTAATGTAAAACAACGAGGATTAACTGAGATTGATGTAATTGGTTTTTATCCTCTTTGTTATGTAGTTTAACCACACTGGAGGAGCCCACAGGGATAGATTTAACTTCCTCTAGATATGAAAAAGCCAAGTGACAATTGGGAGACATTGAAAAGAGCTAATCAGGTGACTTTAAATAAAAGCAAAAATCCAGCTGTATATAATGCAGCTACTTGAGATATGATAATAAATGAATGTTGTTTGTGCTTTTGCATTCTTAAATCTCTTTGCTTGTTAAAAAAAAGATCTGTGGTTGTTTAGTCATACTATACCTCGTGCTATTCTGAGCACCCTCATGATCCTGATGATGGTCGGATTGATCGGAAGAGAGGCGTTGATTTCAATCTCCTCCAGAGTGATGCCCATTACAGACAAGAGCACTATTGCCAAGTCCAGCTGGTTCCACCTACGCAGACAGACACACACAACAAGTCTCTATAGTTTCTTATAAGTTAACCAACTAAGTAAAAGTTAAATTAGATCTTAAACAGAGAAAGGACCAGAGATTTTCCAGAGGGAGGCTGTAGTTAGGAGACATGGAATTCAAGTTACTATTATGCTAATCTTACAATGAATATTAATGTTTTGGATGAACTTTGTGCATAATTTGCAGAGGAACTGCTACCATCTCTCCATCATTTGAAATACCATTGCTTCCATTCATATTAATGAGAATAATGGAAAGGAATTTCAATAACTAATTAAATGTTTAATTTGAAAAAATATTTGGCTACAAATTTATTGAGCCTTTTTTCATTTTCTTTAAAAGGTAGCGAGACAAATGTTTCATATAAACCTGGCATGTACTGTAAGCAGCTGCGTAGGAAGCGGGGGGGACGGGGGGGACATGTCCCCCCCAATATAAAAGCCAGGTGGATATGTCCCCCCCAAAAATTGTACCACAAAATATTAGATTTTGACAATTTTTTAACTATCGTGCTTTTATTTTGAAGGCGCAGCATAGCGTTACGTCACTGTACTCCCCCTCCCCTCTGTGAACTGTTGAGTGTTTGAGCACTCAGAAAGGAGGGAAACTATGGAGAGATATTTGTGCCATCGGTTTGAGCGCGCAGGAACCAATCCGAGCGCGCAGTGAGACAACACGCGCGCGCGCAAAACCGGTCTGGCGCGCGCTCAACTCTGAAAAACCCTCTCAACACACTGTTCTCGCGCTCAGTTTCATCTCTGCGCGTGCTCGAATCCGTCTCTGCTCGCTTGCTCTCCTGCTCTCTCTCTGCGCTCAACACCAGCTGTGCGCTCGGCTGTTTCTCCGCTCGCTCGACTCTCTGCGCTCGCAACTTCAGCAATGTATGTAAATGAACCATACCATCAGCCAATCACACCCAGCTTCTTTTCATCCAATGAAAGCATTCCTTCCTTCTTCTTCTTTTCTATCATGGCGGTTCGCAAGCAACTTCAAGGTGCATACCGCCACCTACTGTTCATGAGTGTGTAGCAACATTGTTTTACATCTATTAAATTCTATTTTTTAATTTTGCATTCTGAAGATAACTAAATAATGCTTTCCTTAATCTATAAACATCCTTTATATTTCCTTTATTTCCCAATAATCCTTTAAGACTCCATTCTTGGCCGGTCATTTCAACTACTCTTCTCAATTTTTCCCTTTCAGGTTCATATGTTTTACAGTTCATTAATATGTAAGCATTCGTTCCAAATACTACATCCGGTTAGATGAAAAAAAAATAAATAAATAAATAAAAACACAATCAGGAAAATCAAACTACTCTTACAGTTATTTTGTCAACATTCCTAAGATAGTACAGAGTTGAGCGCGCGCCAGACCGGTTTTGCGCGCGCGCGTGTTGTCTCACTGCGCGCTCGGGTTGGTTCCTGCGCGCTCAAACCGATGGCACAAATATCTCTCCAAAAGGGAAACAGCGTTTTAACAAAAAAGGGTCAGAAACTTGTAAATGAGGTAAAAGGACTGGGGGAAATGTTTTTTTATGAATATTGCTTATTTAAACGTCTTGTTGTCAGTTCATTTCATAAATAGAAACTGAATTTTTTTTGGTTTTTAAGCCCATCTTAACCCTTGTGGGAAAAAGAGGATTAGGGCCACAAAAAAAGTTAACTGTTTTTTTAATTTTTTTTTATTTTTAAAGGGGGGGGAAAAAGTCAGAATTCGGGATTTCCCCCTCGGGAATTCAAAATTTTTAATCTAAAGAATTCGGGACTTTTTTTCAGATTTCTGATTTTTTAATCTCAAAATTTTCCGGGACTTTTTTTTTTCTGAAATTTTGACAGATGATTAATGTTTCTAATAAATTTACATTTTTTTTTTTTTGGTGGTGGGGGGGGGGGGGGGGGGGGGGGGGGGGGGGGGGGGGGGGGTAACTTTTTTTTTTTCCAAAAGGGTCAAACTAAAAAAAAACCGAAAATTTTTTTTGGGAGTAAAAATTAAATACTTGTTTTTTTTCCCAACAAGCACAAAAATTTAAAAATCTCCCTGAGTTTTTGCTGGCAAGAAAATGAAATAATTTTACTTATAAAGAAATATAAAAGGAAAGTACGGTTTAAAACAAACTAAATTTTTAAAAAATTTGAAGATTTTGGTTTAAAAAAAAAATTTTCCTTCAAGTTTTGGGGAAATTTTGGGGGAAGGAAAAACAAAATTTTTGAAATTAACCCAACAAATCGGAAAAAAAATTAAAATAAATAAATAAAAAAAAATTTTCCCCTTTTTTACTTGAGGTTTTTTGTTGAAAAAACTTCATAATTATGATTTTAACAATTTGGAGGAAATGCTACATTTCTCTTCTTCCTGCCCTGCTAAAAAAAGGTTTAAACTTTAATAAACCCCCCATTCTTTTTTTAACCTATTTGGAAAACACAACAAAAATGTAATAAAAAACAAAAGTTTTGTTTAACAAAAAACCCATGTTAGAAATCAAGCCAAAAGCCATGTTTTTTTTTAGGGGATAGCTCTCTTTTTTTTAAATAAACCTTCTGCTCCTCCCATTAATGGGGGGGGCCCCCTGGGGCAAGAAAAAAGGGTTCCCCTAAATTCTGTCATTTTCCACCAATGTGTCACTGGCTCTCTAAAAACAACTCACATCTTTGGGTCAGTGAAGCTGGGGTGCTCCACATCCCTCCCCTTTTCAGGGGTGACCATTACTTTTAAGGGATCCAAAATTTGAGAAAAAAGTAGAAAACTGAGAAAAAAAAGTTTTTAATTCTGAAAATAAAAAATCCCGAATTCTGACTTTTTTTCCCGTATTAAAAATTTAAATAAAATGTAAAAAAACAATTTAAAATTTTTTTTTTTTTCCATTTGGGCCCCATTCCTCTTCCCCTATTTTTGGGTGTCAATATCCCCAAAATTTAACTGCTAACTTTTTTCTTGGGCGTTTGCCCGCTAAACCAAAAAAAGGTTTTTTTTTTTTTATATTAATTTTTTTTATCTCATTTTTAGTTTCAATGCCCCCCACCCAAATAAAAGACTGAAACAGCAGTTTGGATAAATCAGATTTTTTTTTAAAAAAAACCGTCAGGGGGAGGGAACGCAACCTAACACAAATTGTGTTTAAATTAGCCCCCGGGTTTGGGGGGGGTGGGGGTTTACGAGGATTTTTTTTTTTTTTTGCATGGTTTTAAATTTGCCCGAATGGACAGATTTTTTATACCTTTTCGCCGCTCCTGTCGTTTTGTTTTTAAAAACCCCCGGGAAAATTAAAATTTTTAATTCTTAGCAGCCCGGGGCCCGCTTGGTGTGCAGGGGGACTGCAAAAACCACTAAATTAACCAACTAATTTTTAACCCCTTTTGCATCTTTAAATTTCTTTTAAATAAACTGCTGGCTCCTCTTTTTTTAAAATATAAAAAAAGATTAACACAACATTGACCCAAAATCTGTAGTTTTCTCCCCGTTTTTGGGACTGCAAATTGGGGGAAATTAAAAGGGGCCCATTTTTTACCAAAAGGGCTGGAAGTTTGGGCCCCCTGTCCCAGGGGGGGTTTTCCCCGAAACCCCAAACCCCCCGGACCCCACTAAAGGGGCAGGGGGTACAGAAAATGGAGGATAATTTGGGTTTTACCAAAGGGTTTTAGAAAAGGGGTTTTTGAACCAGAAAAGCTTCAAAGGGGCCCTTTCCATAATTCTTTACCACACGGGCCCGCCCTCTGTCAGTCAACCTATATAAATTTAAATTTTGGGGCCCTTATTGCAAGTTTGGGCAAAATAAAACAAATCAAACTTTGCACTTGTGTGGGCCCACCCGAATTGTTTTTTATTTTCTAGTTTTTAAAAGCGGGGGCACTAAATATGCCAAGGGCTGAAGCCCCTTTAAAGACATTCCCTTTGCTTAATAAAAAACCCAGTCATTTTGTTTTTGGGGATATGCTTTACATCTTATGAACAAAAAGCATTATGTAAATTTTAAATGCATTATTTTTGCAAACACATTTATAAAGGAATAAAGTAAAAGATTAAATAGCCTTTTTTTTAAGTAGTGTACTTAAGATATGTTTCTGTTGAATATTTACGAATCTCAGATTTCCGATATGTGTCCCCCCCAATTGTAAACATATTCCTACGCCCTTGACTGTAAGCAATGCTATAGGTTAAAAACAAACACAGAAGGGATTTGGTTGATAACTTCAAAATGGGGGTTCTACTGAGACCAGGGTGTTGGTGAGGACAGTTTTTAACGGAATGCACTTAAACCAAATCAGCCAAAAGATGTTTAGAATAATAATTTAAAAAAAATTTCACTAGATCCATCATGTTAGCAAAAAAAAAAAGTTTACATTTTACAAATGCAGTCAGGGAGAGAGATACTGTATGTCTCCTGTTCTAATAAAACTACTTTGTAATGAAATGGTTTGGCCATAATGACTATTTTGATATCTTATTGAAAAGAAGAAGAGCTTGAAAGTCTGATGGTATAATGTCAGCTTTAAAGGTTAATAGCAACATGCTTTATAACATGTTTTCGATTTGACACTAAAATAGTAACATGGATACAAAATGAAAAAGAAACTAAATAAAAGCATACAGTACACCAACAAGGAAGCTACTAAACAGTCGATGATTTTATGTATTGCTTTCAGATATCGTGATATGTGCAATCACAAAATGTTGGCTTTTTTTTTTTTGCTGTTGTTATGTTTTCCTTGAGGAGTAATAGAAGTTGCTGACTCAAAAAAATATCCCATCACTACTTTGGAAAGTCCAATCTTAAGATAAATAATATGGTCCTGAAAAGACAAAGAAACAAAATTAACAAATGTGTATAAAGGTACAGCACTTTCAAATCTGGTCTGAACTTCATTTAACTCTTGGGTATTAAAATATTAGTTAATAATATGAATAATATGAAATATAATACTTGAAGAATTGCTTTGCTCTTTTGATAATGTCCCATTATTCATATGTACAGTTTTGAATTTTTAAAGCAGTATGCTTCTTGCCACCTATCACAGACATTAAAAGGCAACACAAACAGCATGGTGCTAATCTAGATTGTGTTTCAGTGCCATGCACAGACTTTTTGAAGGGTAGTGACAGAGAAAAAAGGCACAAGTACTGTGTCCTCACCACTTCCAAAGGTACTTTAGTACACATTTTGGCTCCCAAGGGGGCACTTTCGTAGCCATGGGAACATATTTTTCTAAAAAATGACAAAAATGATTCTAACATATCTAAATTCATCTGTATCCACAACAACATGACAGCACAAGGGAGGCACAGGGTAAATGCAACAAATTACATTCAAAGAAATCCAGCTGACAAACCAAAAATCCAGATTTACTAACTATAGGAAACTATATGCAAAAACAGGGGCTTTGCTCATTTAAATAAAACTAAATTTTATTTCAAGCGGCCCTTTAGCAAGCGTTTTGGTTATCCAAAGGGGCACTTTAGCATTGTTTTTTGAAAATAGAATAACAGGTGTACCAAATTAGTAATTCCCCTGATGGGCTTATAACTGGTATGTAATTCAACGGAGCGACAACAGGGTTTTTTATTTGGTTTTTATGATATCAAATCAGAAGATATACATATTTTGGAATAAAAGGGATCAACTAACTAATTTGATATTCGGTGAAGATTATCTCTGAGGCTGGGCTAAAAGCATTTGATGTATCGCAAATATTTTCCTTTGAGCTCTGGCTGACTTTGCCTGGGCACTACAGAACATTATTACTATCTCCAGTCAGAATTATTAAACTGGCTGGTGAAATTAAAAATTTAACTCACTTAAATTGGCTAGGGTTAAATGTTATTTGTAATGTGATATTTTCTATGTTGATATATTTTAAAGCAGATGGTCATTAAAAGTGTATCAATGCGTAATAAGTTGACATTTCTTATAAGTTATGTTCAGCCCTGTATATCTCTATACAGAAAAACACCAATCTATCGAGGGCCAATCTTGTAAAGCTGAAAATGTACCTGTCCTTGAAGAAGCGCCGGAAGCCAAATGCCACTAGCTTGAGAGACGCCTCAATCACAAAGGTAGAGGTGAAGAAGTAGTTGCAATACTTGAGGGCAGTCTCAAGTGACTGAAGGCAGAAAGAAAAGGCTGCATTAAGAATACAAACTTCAACATATCTCTTCTGTCACAATGTTTTGTTAATTTGATTTGTTTCACTCAAATGATAAGGAAATAGAGATGTATCACTCTTTATTTCTTTATCATATTAATTTTTGAAGGAGAGAGAGAAAGTCAGAAACTAATATCTCAATCATTATTAAGATTGTTATTCAATGAGTGTTTTGACAGTGGGAGCAAATTATCTTGCTATCACCTCTTTTAATAGAGGGAAGTTTAACTGAGACAGACAGGTAAAATATATGGGAAATTGCAGAGTAATATACATAACATTTTTGACTACCCCACAGAAATTATTTGGGGATTCAAGATAAATAAAATAAAATAAGACAATAAAATTTCATTTGCAGAGGAGTGCTAAAGGTTTAGAATTTTTTATCCATCCCAGAAACTCTATTTCCATGACACATTAGAATTAGGGTTGCTGCACATCCAGTCAGGCAAATCATCTAGCCTTAAATAATTGTACCGTATTTTCACGACCATTAGGCGCACCGTACTAAAAGGCGCACTCTCAGTTATGTGTCCCATTTCTGTATTTAACGCACACATAAGGCGCACCAGACTATAGGGCGCGTTTTTTATATACAGGTACATGTCCTCTACTACCTTTAAATACCTCTACTGCGTATTTAAAAATACAGCGGGGGCAAAACTGAGTATGATTGTGCTTTATTCATGTATTTATTACAAAGTATTAATCAAACTTGGGAGCTGGCCGTGAGACAGACACATCGCAGATGACAGCGCTGTGATCACTCCTAAATTAACTTAAAATCCTGAAACCTGCCGACAGAATATGTTCGCTTTTATTACCGGTATCCTGGTGCCTGCAGTTTAAATTATTTAGATGAAAAACACCTGCCAGCCACCGAGGTGAACCCGGAGGCTGCCCGGCCTAGAGGCTGCTGTTGAAGGGATTTCTACTGTCCCGCTTGTACCGCTTGTACCGCTGGTATGTCGGGGTCTGAGCGGCTCCGACAGAAATAGATAATCTGGATGAACTGACTGCAATTATTAAGTTTTCAGGTGGCCTTTCTCACTTAAAAGCATATTAAAACTACTTTATTCCCACTGATCACAGCAAATATAGCTGCAAGATTTAGATTATTTAGATGAAAAAACACCTGCCAGCCACCGCGCTGAAGAGGAGGAGACCCGGCCCAGAGGCTGCTGTTGAATTAAGTTTTCAGGTAGAAAAATAGAGCGGGAGCAAAACTGAGTATGTTTGTGCTTTATTCATGTATTTATTACAAAGTATTAATTGAACCCATCAAAGTCATCATCCTCTGTTTCTGAATAAAACAGCTGCGCTAAATCAGACATGCCAATTTCCCCTTCTTCGCTGTCAGAGTCACTTTCCGTGCCGGGCGGCTCCTCAGAAATAATGCCGGCTTTTGCAAAAGCTTGAACAACAGAGCCAGCAGACACGTTAGTCCAAGCATCAACAATCCATCTGCAAAGGGTGGCGTAACTTGCCCGGCGCTGCCTTCCACTTATCCTGAAACTGTGATCTCCGTCGGTCATCCATCGCTCCCACGCCGCTCGCAGCCTTACTTTGAACGGCCGCTTCACACCGATGTCGAGCGGTTGAAGTTCCTTTGTCAGACCCCCGGGATAACGGCGAGCACAGCGTTTATTTTTTTTCACCATGTTTTTCACATCGGCTGTGAGATGGGCACGCAGCGATGGTGATGCGTGGAAAAAAACACCTGGTCTCCTCATATACACCTGCCTCAGCCACGCTTTCATCATCTCCTCATCCATCCAGCCCTTTCCATTTGCCTTAATATGTCATCAGAGCACTGTGTCTGTCTCGCTATCAGCTCCCAGATCAGCTTCTCTGATTTGTTGATGCGGCGCTTCCAGCAGCAAAACTTAAATTTTTCCATCTCGAGCAGCAGCAGCGCGTTGGGGGCGCGCTCCCGAAGCGCTGCGCCTGCTGCTCAAAACGTGCTGCGGGACCTTTTGCTGCGCCTATACGCGCGTCAACCATTGACTTTGCATGTAAACTCGCTGCTTCTGCTGCACCTGCTGCGTCCGGTTCACAGCGAGCGCATTAATTTGTTTCACCATGTTTTTCACATCAGCTGTGAGATGGGCACGCATGGAGTCAGATTAACAGCGATGGTGTGGTGATGAGTGGAAAAAAAACCACCTGGTCTTCTTACATTCACCTCCCTCAGCCACTCTTTCATCATCTCCTCTATGAGGTGGTCTCAAAAGTCGCACTTGCAACACACATAGGGTGCACCGCACCAAAGGGCGCACCGCACATTTTGAGGGAAAAAAAAGACGTTTATGTGCGCCTTATAGTCGTGAAAATATGGTATTTTTATATTGTGCAAAGTTGTAGTTAAGCTATTTAACAAATGTAGGTATACCGAACCCTGAACTAAGAAAATATCTGAATGTGAGGTGTGTTTTTATCCTATACTAATTGTGGAGAAGAGTTTTGTGTTTATGTTGTCTACTGTAGGAACAAAACAATGTAAAAAGTAACTATAAGTAGAAGGTAACAAGACACCTGCATAAAGATGGTTATTTTTGCCTTAATATGGCAAAGAAAAAAGGTTAGTTATATTGGCTGAGTAAAATCTTTGTTCTGGTTAAATTTGGAAGGGTTTTATGGGCCAATTTACTAATATATATTAATGAACTCAGTAAAGACTAATACTTCTGAACATTTACAATTCATAGGTAAATGGAATAGTTTGAAATGAAAATAAATACATTTTATCGTAAATATTAACCATTTTAATAGTATGCCAGATAAGCAATAGATGGACCAGATTTCTGTTTCTGCATGGACCATAGCGTAGCACAGCACTAACTTTCCTTATGTAAGAAAGATTAATTTGGATGTTAGGAAATATATCAGGTTGCACAAATCCAACCATAACCAGCTTAAGAGGAAGAAATGTTGATAGACTTTAACACACATTGAATATATTGTATTTAAGTGCACTCACTAAGAAAATTATTTCAGACAACATTAGCTGTATCAGAAGTGTCAAGTTCTTTAATAGGAAAGGCACACTACAGATTTTTGGGTGCCTTGCAGTGAAAAAATGGCATTGACTCACATCCTGTCTGGAGTAAATAATGATTTAAAATGTATTTTGTGTGTTGCCATTTATGAATGTAATTTCGTTTTAGGGTTGACAAGACATAAACATCTGTCTTTTAGCAAGGCGGCTGTAGATAGAGTCTTCTATTAGGAGAATAGCAAAAGCTATAACATTCTGCATGCAGAGCTTTTGAAAATATATCAGTATTTTTCTCAAAAATGCTATAAATATATATATATATTTATATATATTTATTAAATATGTGTAATCATTTAAGCAGACATAAAAATACCTTTACTGTTTTTCTGTTTTCTACATAAAAAATATTTAGATATACTGTATCAGTAAAAATTTTGTATGAGCCCCTGCATAGTTTATTTATCACATCATAATTTGACATAGAAGAGAAGCCAACTTTATTTGAAAAATTTGAGTAACTTTAACAGAGAGGCAAGCAGACATCAAAAGCTAGAAATTTGAAGCTGGAGCCTGCAAGAGATTAAACAGTCAGTCATCTCAACATACCTTTAAACAAGTCTGAAAAACCCTGCATGTCTCATTCCTAATGAAGAAGAAAGTGTACCTGTGGCTGGCTGTAGTGCTCCAGGGACATAGTGATGACATTAATGCATATAATGAAGGTGATTACTAAGTCCAGGTAGTGGCTGGTACACAGAGCATGGATGGCCAGGCGGGTACGGCCATAAGAAGAATAGTATGGCAGTTTCTGTGCCTCTGGAAAACAAGAAACAAAAATTAAGATAAAAGAAAAGTATGGCTAAGTATGGCTCAGATTCAAAAAGAATAAAAAACAAAAGGAAAAAGGACAGTAATACAGTAATTAAACATAAAATATGTTGAACGGGGAAAGCTTGAGTGGGAATAAGAATAAAAACAAGTATTTTCTCTTAACACAAAGGGTATATAGAAACTGGGGATATAGAAAAATGCAAGATTAGATTTATCTGAGTTTAAGGCAAAGGGAGTAAAGATGAGGAGCAGAGGAAATTATGCAAAGCAAGACAAAGACGGAAAACTGAGAGCTAATATAAGGAGAAGCCTGATAAAAGTGAAGGCGAGGTTAAGTAGTTTTAAACGAGTTTAAATAATGACTCATTTCCATTGATATAAGAAGACTTTAGCATATGCCGTCCAAATAATATGCAAGAGGGAGCTTATTATTTCAAAGATTCAAGTCCAATATAACTACCTCATTACATCTTACATAACTTACTTGCCAAACTGCATGTTGTTCTCAAACACACCAACATTCTATTACTGTGCTAGGCTTTATATAATCAAAATGGTCATGAAAGTATATATTTTTTCTCTAGTTCAGTCTCCTAGGATATAATTTCCACCGTTGAGATCTTAACCTCTCTTTGCCTTCCCTGGTTCATAGACTCATCAGTTAATAAAACTTCACATACATTACTGACTCCAATTGTCAACATGAACTTTCTCCCTTGTACAGCAGCTTTTTTTTAATCTTAGCTCTTACTTCTCCTCTTCTTTTCCATGCGACGTTGGCGCTTTTCTTCTCTACGCCTTGCCTCCTCCACTTCCTGATGCTGCCGACACTTGTGGAAATTCTCCACCACCACACCCACAAACATATTGAGGACGAAAAAGCTGACAATCAAGAGGAAAGATATGAAGTACAGCAGCATCCACGGATTGTTGTTGGTCACCGGCTGGAAAGAAGAGAGGACGGCAGGGAGATGGATGGGGAAACAAACATGATATTAATAAATATAAAGGCAAAAAAGGGTTATTATGAAAGTAAGAAAAGAGAAGCCTGAGTAGAGTTTAGATATGCCCCTTTTATCTTTCCAAGGTGTAACTGAAAAAAAAACGTAGCCAATGCTAATAATAAAAAAAAAATCAAAAGAAACTAAAAGAGGGAAACAATAAATCAAAATTTTAAAATGCAGCAAAAGATAACTTTCTCAGTAAAATAATAAAACAGAAGATCCTATCTTTAAGTGGTTAAATCTGTCAGTCTCCCAAACATAGCCAATGGGCTAATTATTATATATATATATATATATATATATATATATATATATATATATATATATATATATATATATATATATATATATATATATATATATATATATATATATATATATATTTTTTTTTTTTTTTTACTTTTATCTATGTTCATCTATGTTTGTGTACATACTATATTTTTTAATGAACATCTGTGAACATCTGTGTTTTTTACCCTTTTACCCTTTAGTCTCACACAGGCTTTCTGCTACCAATTTCATGCTGGCCAAAAAAAACTATTTAAACATGGGAATAATTGGCTTTTAGTAGCAGTGGGAACAGATCACTGACGCATGTCTAACCGGGTCAAATGACTCAGCAAGAGCCCCACATTAAAACCACCTCTTTTCTGATCTGCATGTTGTGGGATCACTAGACCAGGGATGAGCCACTAATTAGGTGACACCATTGAACGCAATGTATGGATGTCAACTCGCCACAAAAGTTGCTTCTGCTGAAACAAGCCGAAACAACTCTGTTTATATTCAATAAACAGCAGCCATTGTAATAGGGATTCAGACAGATACAAGAGTGAAATAATAAAGAATACTGACTACGCTCTGACTCTCATCCATGTTGCTCTCCATTTTTTACTTCCCTGATTTTCATTGCAATGGTGACATATCAATGCTCACCCAGAATGATGCCATCATCAGACACACAGTGGTGGGGTACATTTCAGTCAAATGGGAAAGGACCAAAAGCGGATGGTTAGCAGGTGAACCCAGTTTGGGACAATACAAATCAAATGATTTGATTTTAAATTAATTAAATATAACATACATGTAAATAAATGTAAATACTAAATGTCAATATTAAAAGCATAAGTTTAGTATACAGATCAAAATAATGATTAGGAAATTTCCAGGTTTTTAAATTTTGAGCTACTAGATTGTAATGGGGCTATAAATAAGCTTCGAAATTTGGAAAAAAGGAAGAAGGAAAACAAGACAAATAGAGGAGATTGCAATCTGTTCAGTTTATGCATTTTCTCATCAACAATTTTATCCATCATTTCTTGTTGTTCTCTTCAAAAAAAAAAAAAGGAAATGATCCTTTTCACAGATTTTGTTTTTTATTCAGGACCCTCTCTCCCAGATTAAGTCCTATTGTTTCTGGTCAGCATCATTAAAAGCCTTCAAGATGATTGACCTGTCTTCATAAACACCCCCCCCCCCCGACACTTAAAAAAAATTTACTCTAATTTAAAATGACTGTCTTCCAGCCTCCAACCATGGTAGTGATGGACTGTTACAAGAGACTTAGCTCCTGCAGCACAAGCATCTTACAACATTTAAAGAATAGAAATTAATTTTGCCTTGACGGTAGGGGAGATAAATATGGATATTTTTGAAAGAAAATTATATGGAAGCGATTTATGTAAACATTTTGACTCTTTCAGTCTGTGTTAAAATTTTTGATCAGCAGATTAAAAGCTTGTTTAAATTAAAAAACGTGTTTTATTATTTTGCCATGAGTGTGTGGACTTGTTTTTGTTACTTTAAGGGGATAAAAGAAGGGCCAATTTATGTTAAATATGCTACCTTGTGGGGACATAAAGGTACTTCTGGGGACCAAAAGTACTCTAGGTCACACAAATGTAAGGTATTTTCTTGTTTGCTAATAAACTACTTTGGCACTTTACCATTTGACTGAGATAAGTCATATCTACTTGTATAGAGTAGCTGGAAGTGTCATGATCACAGCCCTAATGTTTGTCTGTTTCTCCACAAGACACACCTTCTGTGCTCCGCCCTATTCTCATTACTAATCATCTGAGGCTTATTTCTGGAAGGCTTATGTAAGGTCAAAGAGTCACTATAGTTAAGTCAATAAGAGAGTGCACCCTCTGTCAATTCAAGGGTTATAGCCCACTAATTATCTGAACTTCGTAAGTTCTAAAGCTATCGGAGTCTAAACTTAATTATTCCAAATCCCATCCTACAGATTCCATTCTGACATTTTTTTACCCAAGAATGAAACCAAAAGGGAAAATGTGTGCATAAGAGGTCAAAATGTAAGCACATCTCTTCACCTTAGTACGTAAAAAAATAAGTAAAATAGCAGGATTTAAACTGGTTACTGGATAATGGTTTTGAGGATTTATCATACATCTTTAAATGTATGTAGTTGAGACTGATGTTTGATCCAGAGTCTTAAACGTAAAGTGTATTTGGTTCAGAGAATTTTCTTAAATCTCTGGAAAGATTTCTTATGAACATGCTGATTTGAATAAATAAATCCATCTATGACCTACACCTATGTAACCTTAATGAGGATTTCTAAGGGGCTGGAGTCCATTCCAGCCTACAATGGGTGAGAAGCGAAAAAAAACAAAAAAAAAAAACCTTCAAGGAACGCCTGAGTTGATCACAGCCTGTTTTGATTAAAACGGCATTATTCATATAATAATTGGGGTTAAAATGCTAAGATTTTTTTTAATGTTGTTATTAAATTTTTTCCTTAATTTAACTCATTCTTAATTGGCTTCAAAACGTATTTGTTATTTTTTATTTTATTTCCATGAATAAAGTATTTTAAAAGTATTCTTGAATTGTATAAACTGAAATGAATACATTTTAATAACATTAGTCATGAAAAATATAGACTAATGTCAGTATGAGAAGCTTTTTTTAAAGTCTGCCAAACCTCATAAAATAAATCCTGGAACAGACGCTAAACAGGAAAGAGGACAAAGAAATTAGGTATAGAACACAAGCAAGAAAAAAAGCCTAGGATGATTAAGAGAAGGGGAATTACTAAAGAAAAGACTTGGAAGCAAAAAATCTATTTCAGGTGCAACAGAGTCAGAGATGAGAAAGATACATTTTCAATCTGTGTTGAAAGTGCAGGATGGTGTGCAAATGAAAGTAGTTGGTACGTGCAAAGCTGGAAAGCTGTGAGGTATTCCCAAATGTGATAAATGAATCATCAAGCTTAATGCCGACTCTTGCTGATAAACTATGAGAGACTTTTAGAAAAACTAATTCTGAGACTGCTGTAGCCACCAGAGATTACTCTTTTACACTCTTTCAGCCAAATTTAGGGTCAATATTGAGGAGAATAATTTGATGGGAAAATTTTTCCCAGGGTTATTTTGCAATTTTATTCTTTGAGTTCAGGGAGGAAAGTGTCTATAACAAATGAAAGAGGACGTAGCACATTTTATGCTATGAAAACTACAGAGAGCTCCAACAGTGATTCAGAGGCAAGGCTGCAGAGGTGAAAGTGAGTTTTGCAGGCGAGGGTGTTTCTCAGCTTACAAAATTGTTTCTTTTACTGTCTTTTTACTTTTTATGACTTATCTATTTGTGGAAAAACAACATACAACTTTGTCAGTTGGTGCCTTTCTGAAACTAATTAATGACCACTCTCTCCTTACATTCCTCCTTCATGTCTTCCTGTGATAACTAGATACAGCAGCACTGTTGTTTTCGCTGAGTAAAATAAAAGAACCAGCCTGTGACTGCTGTAATAATGCTGTTTGAGTATTTTAACTTCCCAAAATGTGGTGTATTATTGCACATTTATGTACGATTTACATGTAAATAAATCAGTTGTCAAGTGTCACTTAAACCTACAAATGGTTCTATTAAGCTGCCATGGTTGATAGGCAATATATAATAATTAGAGTCCAATTTCAAATTAGTTTCTGAATTCTGAGGAAGGTGTCAAACAATAGCAAAGAAGGTGACACAAGAGGACCCCTTGATAAAGTATATTCTCAGAAAGAGAAATAAAAATGAAACATAGCAATAGGGAAAGCAGGATGGAGTAGCTATTAAATACATAGTTGAAATTAAGTGAAGAAGATCCACTCTTTTTTTTTATTATTATTATTATTTTATTTTTTTTTTTACCAATCTTACATTAGCTACGCCTTCTTATTCTGCCTTAATGAGTACCACTGAAGTTGCTCCATACGTTGCATTTGGTTACTCATTAAGCAGCTTCCTAATTATGGACAAAATACACATGACAAATATATTTATTGCTGTGCATAAATGGGTTTTAAGGTTTAAATAATGTTTTGGGCCAATCTAACTGTAGATATATAGATGTTGATGGTCTGATCGATGGCATGCTCAAAAGAAATTGATCCATTATTGAAAGGCAGTCCACCATCAGAAGTAAAACTCAAAGTCATGATAAAAAGGACTTAAGAATGCATGGTTACATAATTGATCAATGGGTAACTATAGATGATCAATAAGTACCTATACTGGCCAGAACAGAACCAAAAGAAATAATGAGCTATCTCCTCCATAGTGAATTAAAGAGAGAATCATTTACCATAGACAGAGTTTGAATCCCTATGCAGGTTACCAGTTTTAAGGTGTTTATTTAATTTATTCCTTTTTTAATCATGGTGTCCCAATACAACTTCTTCTGATACAATACTTATGTTGCAGCTTTGAGAAATGACCGATAATGATATTAACCTGATAGGATATTAGAAATGGAAGCCTTATGCTTCTATTATTTATTTCATACTTCAGAATGTTGAAAAAGTTCTGATCAAGCAAAATTCTTTCTACACAGAACAGTAGTCAACAATATATATAAAAATAACCCACCAATGTAATATTAACCAATGGGTTACAGAACTTTAAATAGAAGAAAGGTTTCTGTCAACAGACACATACACAACTCAAAAAGAAAGTGTTAGAAATGATGACACATTTTCTTTCAACAATTTAAAAGGATGACAAAAATGTATTCTTCAATAGCTCAGCTTTAAAGATTACATGAAACATTGCTATTTGGGTTAAAGCTTGAGTTTAAAAGTATTCTTTGCTTTTGTGGAATATTAGAAACTCCAACTTGGTAAGAATTATAAGCACCAGAATGAAAAAAAACCCAGCAGAACGAGGGCATTCATTTTCCATCCAAATGAACAAAGTGTTATAGCCCAACGGGGGTGGGTTGATCTTTATGTAGTTCTGATTACATTGTCCCTTTACAGACCAAATAAACTGTAAGATTAAGCCAGAGCCAAACATTAAAATGGTTAGAGCAAGAGTGAAAATGGGTCACTTAATGCTCCATGTATTTGTTATTACCTGCTGGTCGATTCCCACTGCATCTAATCCATGGTACATAATGTTAACCCAGCCGTCTTTTGATGCCAGCACAAATAATGACATAAGAGCCTATGGAAAAACAAGCAGAACATATATTTACAAAAACCTTAACTCCCTAATGGGGCATATATATATATATTTTTTTTTAATAGATGCTCATTATGTAAACACGGTAGTTTTTTTTTTTTTTTTTTGAAGTTGCCACAACAAATATGCTCAGTATGCAAATTTAGTAACTTTGTTCTTCAGGGTTACACTTTTCTAATTATCTACCAAGCTTTGAAAGGGACTCTGTGAGCAGCACAATGCAATTAGGACCCAAATAATGCAGACATAACAGCGGTTTTGGCCTGTACCTGTCCAAGGTTGTCAAAGTTGTATTTATGATGAACCCATCGGTAGTTGGCAGCAAGGCAGTCCGATTTATTAGTGATGTTCTTCACATCAAAACCCACACAGTAGTAGAACTTGCCTTTGAAGAGCTTTGAAGGAAAAAAAAATACAGAAAGAAGAAATGAGAGAATGAGGCAAACAAAGACACATTTTAATGATGATGTTATAACACTTGTAAGCCCAGCCACCTCTTTTATGTAGCTTTTGAAGTAATCTCATTATTAGCATCTATAATAGGTTAAGAGATGATTCTGGTATGATGCTTTAAAAAACACTTGAAATTAACACTCATGTTATCTTTAGTCCTAGCATTTTGATAACACATTCATACATCACACATCGTGGAACCTTAATGAGAAAACAAAGCACCAGTAAATATTAGTGAAATGAATGGTACTAATTGAGCTTTTGGAGTAAGAGAATATGACAAAATGACAGTCAAAACAAAAATCATGTCTGCTGGCCCTCATGATTCTCCACTGGTTGCTATTTATTCATTATTTTTTGTATATAATTATTATTTGTCTAGAGCTGCTTCAGCTAGTTGATACGACCTTTAAGAAGTAAAATATTACTTTCTCATACAGTCTATTCTCTTTTAGCAAAATTCTTTCCGTAATCTCACCTTCAAAAAATTGAACTGAAGGTGATTGTGAAAGAGGGAAACATTTTAATCAGGAGCCAATAATGAGCTGACAGATAATAAGTCACCCTAATTTTCTTTTTAAAGCAGAAGAATGAAGTTGTCTGTCTTATACATGTTCTATTATATTGGATAATACCTAAAACAGACAAAAATGTAATGATTAATAAATACCATTAATATTCCTTGTTCCATGGACATAAATTAGTTTTATTACAGTTTTAGTAAGGTTAATTGGAAACTGATTATTTATCCTTTTTGAGTTCCACAAATGACCGAAATGAAGTTTAGGATTGATGTTTTTGACACTCAAAAAAGGGTAAATATCAAATATTCTAGACCTTAAATGTTCTCATAATCTTACACTTTAATTTGTCTTGAGTTATAAATTGGGCGGTATGTAATGCAAAATATGGTTGATATGACATTGACCTATGTGAAATATCTGTTAATTTTTATAAGACAAATATTTATGAGATTGTTTCAGATTAACCAAGTTAACAAACATTTTTGTAAATTACTTTAAAAACAAAATCATTATTAGTAGCTGCCTTGTTTTTGCGACAAATCAAGTTCACTTTACATTGAGGCATATTCCATCATACTAGACAAAGCTGCAATTGTTTTACAATGGTAGCAGTTTTACAGTTAAATGTATTGAAACAATTGTTTTTTCAATTTGTAGTGTCAAACCTATCTTTCAATATTTGATTTGACTTTCAGGCACGTTATGTGAACTTGTTTTGAATCCTCCTTTTACTGCTGGTCGGGTGTTATAACATAATCTTGTCACAGGTGGCATCTATGCGTTGTATTTTGATTTTTCTTATTATTAATTTGTTAACACTTAAAAGGGCAAAAACAGCCTATATATTTCATATATTTATTCATTAATATGTTGTTTCATTGCATTAATACTGCTTACAAACCTATAGCCTAAACTAAAATACTATATCAGTAAGACAGTCAATTTTATTTTGAAACACCACTGTGATACTTCTAAAAATCTTCTTTATACCTGAACTCCAAGAATCCCAAAGATGATGAAAAAGGCACAGCAAATAAGAACAATGTTGCCAATGGGTTTCAGAGAAGTAATTAGTGTCTCTACCACCAGCTTCAGTCCTGGAGCCCTGCTGATAACCCTGTGAATGGTGCAAGGGCAGGCACAGAGAAAACAAGTGAGACAAAGACCAAAGATACATTCACACAGAAAAAGAGACAGCATGAAACCTGATTTTTCAACGTAAAGGATTGTTAATAATTAAACAGTTTAACATACAATTACCTTCATAGCAACAAATTACCAAACTATGTAAAGATGTTTTTTAAAACGGTCATAAACCTATATCCTTCAATCTAAAATAAAATAGATGCAAAAACATGCTTAAACCTTTTATTGTCATTCCTGGAAAATATGTTTAAAAAGGTTTAGTACATAAAAAAAAAATATTCTTCACATTGGGCATAATTTTTTAAATAATAATCGATTACATTAAGCATTTAAATTTCAATCATATGGAAAAATATCCCATATTTGTTAGCAACTGTCAAAAAAGGGAAAACAAGGTATTCTAAGAATACAGCAAGTAGCTCAAAAAATTTGATACCATAGCAGCAATCAGATAAACGTAAAAAAACTACAAACTTTTCTAACTTTAGGGTTAATACTACAGTTAAAATACTTAAAAAGGTAAAACTTGCATTGTATAGGATGCAACAAAAAATAATCCCTGAAAATGCAATAAAACTCATGTTGCGTGATCATCTGAAAAAATCCAATATTTTAGAATAGAAGAATAGAATAGAAAATTTATTGTCCCACAATAGGTTTTAGAATTTGTTACCAAAAGGTAGAAGCTTAGAGATTGTTTTCTATTGCACTCTGACATCAGTAACAAAGAGGAAGATAAGGGGAGGGGAAAGATGCTTAAAATAAACAGCTAACTAACAGCATTGTACTGAGTCAGTGTGCTCTTTCTGTGTTGAGCCTCTGATGGACTGTCCAGATTGAACCCTGACAGTTGTCTGGAGTCAGCTCGACATGTTCCAGGCCCTCCATGACCCTGAAAAGGATTAACTGAGTAAAGATAATAGATGGATGGGCAGATAGCTCCTTTGCTGACAGAGGGTTAGGTCCCAGACTATTTTTGCTTGTCTGGGAACGGTAGTTGGGGTTTCAGCATGTTGCCTGGCAACTACTTGGAGAGACGGGGTTCCGTTGAATGTTTTTCTTTTTTATTATACATTTTTAGATGAGATTTTTGCCTGCCTTTCTGTTGTGTTAAAGCAACAAAGAGTCTGTTTTTAACAGCTAAATTATCGACAAGAACTGATAATGGCGAATTTTATAAACACTGGAACTTGACTATTATTACTCTAACCTAAGAGGTCGGAGTGTCCGCAGCAGCCGGAGTACACGGAGAACCCCCAGAATCTTAGCCCCTCCTGCCATTGACACTACAATATCAATGAGAGACACAAACACCAGAAAACCATCCAGGATGTTCCAGCTGCTCCTCAGATATGCTGTTTCCCCGAGATATAGACCCATGGACACAACCTGAGAGATAAATGGAAAAATATCACAAATAAGTAAAAGATATACATCTTACAGATGTGCTCTTTGGTATTCATAGTGCTGGAAAAAGTCTGGGCAGCCATACAGGTGACTTATTCTTGTGTTTTTAAGTCTGTTTCAGATTAACATAACATAAACTGTAAGATCACACAAAAATAACCAGTGTAAAAAACAGTCTTTAGAAGCTGCTTTTCTGTAAGAAAAACATGTTATCCAAACCAACATAGCCCTGCAAGAAAATGTTACCCTGCCCATTAATTAATGTAATTAACTATCTTTTTATTGTAAAGTAGTAGTATTACCAGCAAGAACAAAGCATTTATTCAGGCATAGAGCCCTCTTTTTGAAATGCCAAGAGGGCTATATTTGACTCTGTAATTCATACAAAATACTCTAAAAGGGCTCTAGTCACACACTATGACTTTACAAATCTCTACACCAGTACTTTACTCTGGTTGCATGCAAAGGTGCTCTGACTACATTATTATGTCTTGTATGCTTATGATTTTTTGGTGTGTTTCACATAATTTTTGCTTTGTTAGTAAACAAAACACTTTTTAGAGGAATTTACCATAATAAGACCGAATGACTGGAGACACAATGTTGCCCATGCAAGTAACCAAAGAATAGAGCAGAGTGAGTCCAATGCCCAACTGAAGTGCAAAAGTACAAATTTAAAAAATCAAGGGCAAAGAAAAGCACCAAAAAATAGCATTCAAAAAAGAATATAACCGTTGGTGTTCACTGAAGTGGGAACTAAAGTTGGGGAATAGTTTAGATTTCACTGCTAAGTTGATGGATGTGTAAATACAGGGTGTTACTAATACTAATATTTATAAGTCTATTCTCAGACTCTTACTTGACAGACAAGTGTATAAGATGGTTGAAAAAGTAAAAAAAAAAAAACACTGTATTTAACAGTGTTTGTTAAATACATTTAACAAACACATTCAATTAGACACTACTGATAATTCTGCAATACAACCAGTATAAACAAAAATATTTATGCCATGTAATCAAAACAGGTGCAAAACATATTTTGAGGAAGGACTGAAAAAAACAGACAGACAGAAATGAGGCTATTTTATGTGCCTCATTGTGTTTTTTTCATCATTCAGATGTGGATGGTTGATTAATACAAATTATATTATTTCTGTGCTGTCACAAACTGAGAATGCACATTTATTGGTACTTTACATGGGAGTAAAAAAAAACACCTTTAACACACAGAGAATGCAGGCAAAATGTTAAAGAGGTGTAACTGAGTTGCTTGTGTGTGCTTACTATTTCACTGCTCTGATTTAACAACTAATATATTCTGGCTTTTAAGATATTCTGTTTTCACAAAAAATATCCTTCATAAAATTAAGAGTATTTAAACAGCTCTGAGCATCCTCTTCAGAAGGCTTTTGAACAATATTGTCGTAAAAGCCTTCTTCAGATCTGCAGTAAAAACAGGGTGCTTTAGCATATGCTTCCATGATGAAATAAAAACATTAAGAGTTACAACTACATTTAATTTGGGATGGGGTCAATAAAATATTTTAGAATTGAATTAAATTGAATTTGGAAGGCACTGGAAAAGGAAAAAGGAGATGCTAATTCCTCCAACAAATTAGTATGTTGAAGAAAGTGTGAAGCAGCCATCAGTCTGAGTTGAAGGCAAAAATTGGATATGGTAAAGACAGAGATAAAAATGCTAAAGACAGAAAGAAAATGGACTGATCCAACACCAAAAACAGCCAGTATTATCCAAAACATGCAAACTGAAACCTTGTGTGTTTTCTTCATGACTCAGTAAAACTTGCAGAATAAAATAAAATGTCTCTGTATTTTGTATAGACAAGAGAGATGGGAAAATCTTTTGGTAAATGTAGTGAGTATTATTATATCTATGGCTATCTAGAAATGCAGAATTCATAACAAAATGTTATCATTGATGTCATTATCCTTATTAGTCTTCCTGCTATTTCAAGTTGTTTTAAGGGTTTTAAAACCATTTAAACGTACACTGTGTACTAAGGAAGAAATGAGCATAAAGAAGTGAGAGCGAATGAAATTGGGCTATCTTTATAAGAAGCCTGATATGTTTTTTTATGAGAAAAGTGGTAGAAAAACTTTAGACCTCATTTGCGTGTACAAATGTAAATTGAAAGATAACGATTGCCACTAATTTGATTAAATTATCAATGAAGAAACTAAAATAAGTTATAAGAAATATATATTATAGTTTGGATAGCTCCATCCACCATCAGAAGTTAACCATGCATCACCTTAGCATAGTAGCAAGCTGTTACATGTTCTCCTTTTACATATTCATAAATAAATCATTATAGGATAATGCAGAAAAAGCCTCAAGACAAAGAAACCTCTATAATCAGATATGTTATGTATTAAAAAACTCAAAATGTATACTGTAGATAGCATGTGCAGGTTTTGCACCCCTGAGTGGTTCTGATGAGAACCTGAGGAGTGATAGCATTCTAATTGAATTCATTATTTCACCCATCGGTGGCATTGCAAGTACAATGGATTAAAGCAAAACATGGAGGTTTATTAACAGTAAAAGAGATGGGTGAGGCTAGAGAACAGAAAAAAAAGAGAAATATATGGAACGGATGGATGGATGGATGGATGGATGGATGGATGGATGGATGGATGGATGGATGGATGGATGGATGGATGGATGGATGGTCGGTCAAAGCAAGATAAAAAAAGCATTGGAAATACATATTATGGTACTATGAAGATTTTTACCTTGACTGTCATTTCTGCAACAAAGATGGCCGTAAATATGTAGTTTGAAAGTGTAAGTAACAGCCTTTCCTATGGTACAAAGAGAGGATACAAAATTATTCTATTGAATATGGGGAATAAGAAAAATTTATTAGCAGCAACTTATATATAATACAGTTTAAGGTTTATTTGACCTAAACATTAGTATTAAATTACTATAATTTTTGCTGTTTACCCGATAAAAACAATAAAAAGATTAAACTAAACAATTTATAGTTCAAAGGTAATTTCGTTCCATCACTTCATTCAACAAGAACTGCTGAATATCAAGTGTCATTTTAACTTTACTTGATATAGAAACAGGATAGCTGGTTGGGTTTCTACAGAACAGTATTGGGTAACCTTTCGAACCCTTTTCTTTGTGGATGTGGATGTCTGTGTGTCTACAGAATGACAAATAATACTGGCGATTATTGTTCTCACCAGGCTTCCTTGAAGAATCCTAGGCCTCTCCAGAGCCACTGTGATGCAGTTGAGGAAGATAAAGACCAGGACTATGTAGTCAAAAAGCTTATGAGCAATTATGGATTGACAGAGAAGCCTGAACCTAAGAGGACAGAGAGAAAAAAGTGGTAGATCAGTGCTGCACATATCGTACACTGAGTTAATCATTTCTTTGAAGCATTTTCCAAAATCTTTTGTAATAAATTGGAATGTGGATTTTTAAGGTATTTAGAAACTATGAATGAATCAAAATATGTTGTTTTTTTCAATTAGATTTTAATTTAATTGTTCTATTGGATATAAAATAGTAGTTATTGTGGTATGTTGAGGGTAGCTGTCCTCTTCGAAGATAAACCTCAGTCTTGGATCTTAGGCAGCCTCTAACAGACAGTTACCTACAGTTAAACTTTTTTATTAAATTGTTTCAAAATTTGTTTTAAATGATGTGAATTTAGCACATTGTTAATTGAAAGTAAATATAGAACAGGCATTAAATGACCAAAAATCAAACCATTTGCCCATAAAGAGCGATAAAAGTTTAGCAGGCGGCCTGCCGGCTTAGTCGCACCTTGTTGCAGCAGCATGCCACTACAGCTGCCACAGGGTAGCAGAGGATCTGCCGTTATGGCAGCTGGCTGCCCGCTTGGTCACACCTTGTGGTAGGCGACCGGCGAAAGTTCCACAAGCTTTTGTTAGAAATAATATGAATAAAATATTATATTTTGGAAGTAGTTATAGACCAACATTGTGTGCATCAACAGCCATGGCACATATTTAGCAAGTAAAGTGACACCAGAAGTGACACTATTCTCTAGCTGCCACTGGAAGTGCCACTAATAGATCCAGCTGATACTGGAAGTGCCACTACCTGATTCCACAAATTGATTCTGATAGCTGTTTTAAGTAGCTGCTTTTAATAGGTTAGAATAGGTGATTTGTATTTCTGATATTGACAGATATTTTTCCATGGGTAAATAAAGCTACCTGCCATTTACTTTGTTAGCATATCATCTGAGCGTGCTGGTAATAGGAGTTATGTGTTTAACACATTTTAGCTGATAGGAAGTGAGGTCATGATTTATATATATATATATACATATATATATATATATATATATATATATATATATATATATATATATATATATATATATATAGAGAGAGAGAGAGAGAGAGAGGCTAGAATAGAGATTACAAATTAAAATTTTTTTACTTTAATAGTTGTTCATTTAAAAACTAGGCTCATATTTGGTTAAAAGATTCATTTCATTAGTAAATTAAATGAATAATTGTGTATTGGTTATCTGAATTGTTCATTATAATCATTTAAGGTTGGTAATAATTAATTATAATCATTTAAACCACCTTTTAGTTGTGGATATATTTTGATTAGGATAAATTATCGATTAAGATTTTTCACTAATAACAATAATTCATAGGCAAGTTAGCTTAATTGCACATTAACTTTTATCAGATCATCCAAAAAAAAAAATAATACACAAGCAGAGCAAATACAAAATATGCTTTATCTATTTAATATATAATTTCTTTTTTTTTTTAGTTTTTGCTTCACTCGTGGCTCATTTTTTCGACAGTAGGCTTACAGGAAGGGGGTATGAGAGAGGGGGAGAGACATACGGCAAAGGACCACAGGTCGGAATCAAACCTGGGTCGGCCGCGTCAAGGACTAAGGCCTCCGTACATGGGTCGTGCATGTTAACCAGTGCCCCACCTGCATACCCAAATTAGTTTTCTGATTATAAAAAGATAAGAAAAAGTGCTAAGGGAATCTTTGATTTTATCCCCTATTTTTTTATCCCACAAAATGTCTGAGAAGTTACATATGAATACTGCCCACACTTATTGTAATTTGAGAACCAATAATAAAAAAAAAATTATTTCATTATGAACCACAAGAAGGGTTGCTTTGTGAAATTGAACAGCAAACAACTCGTTGACTACCTCCTTGACATTTGCAGAGCAGATATCCAGTGTAAATAAAACAAGCAAGCAGTTCCTAAGCACATTTCTTTAGCCATCTATAAATAGAACAGCTATACCTACCGCTGCATCAGAATGTGGCTAAAGAAATCAATTTTCTAATCCGCCTGTATTTCCAGTGGATCACTATATGTTGTCCTTTTATCTTTTAATTTGAATAAGGCTGTTCCCAGGTAATAATAGTGACTAGTCTGTGAGTTGGTCCAAGCACACAATCAAGCTAAAACATAATCTTTGGGTATGGCTCTTAGTTTTTTTTATTGGTGTTCCTTTCTTATTTTACTTTCACCTAGATAGACATTTTACATAAACATGAGCATAAGCAGACACTCTGACTGAGGCCTGCAGAGCTATAAGGCACAAACAAAGCAAAGTTATACATATGCTCACACACTCCCACATACACATATGCAGAGCCCCTAGAACACATGTACTAACGGATAACATATTACTCGAGATATGTCTAAACAAAAGCACACAGAAGAAAGGGGTGCTTGACAGATGGCACCTTCCAGTGTGCCAAAACATCCTCCCAGGGCCTGGCTTCCCTTAAGTGGCTATCAGCAGACAGGGAATCGGCTGAGTGAGCGGGTGGATGGATGAGTGATTTTCTTTTTACAACATTCAGGAGATTTTTCTAAAACAATGAATGGATAGGTCTGAGAAACAGCTCAGAGTACATCTCTGTTAAAAAAAAATACAAAAGTTGTTCAGTTCATAATTTAGTTAATAAACCATGTGTCGAACCATGAGACCTATTTTCTGAACTGGCGAATCATTTAACACTTGCAAATATTTCAAACCTTTGAATCTTACTGGGAAACCATTTTTTCTTTGTGCTCTAGCAATAAACAAAGATAATTAGTTTAACAATGTTGCCAAGACACACTACTACACAAATGAAGACACATGTTTGCCACTTGGCTTATTTCTGACACCTTATATCCCTGACATTTACACCAGTAACTCAATTCAGTTTCAATCCTCTATTGGCTTGAGTTAAGGTCAGCAGATTTGATTTTTTACCACAGTATTTGGTGAAACATTCCAGTGCTCACCTACTTAAAAAATTTATTCCCTGCCCACAGTTTTATAAAATCAAACACCAGCTTATCTAATGCCTTCATTCACACTAGAGTAGTCCCAGTATATTAGCTGTGATACTAGCTGCTTGACTATGATATCAGTTCTGGCTTAATTCATATATAAACCTGATCTTGTTCCACTTGAGAGCTGCCCCATATCGAGAAGAGTCACTAGAGGACTATATCTCTCGGCTTGCTTGGCGGTACCTCAGGCTTGCCCCAGCAAAGATAGAGGATGTGTTTGAGGAGAGGGAAATCTGGGAATCTCTGCTGAGACTGCTGCCCCCGTGACCCGGTCCCTCTGTAATCCAGAGGCATATGTCACAAAAGCTGAATTCAGAAATTTAAGGATAAGAGATAAAGCCAGGCTTGCCCTAGCGGGAGGAGTTAATCCAGGCTTCATCTGTTCCAAGCCAAGCCAGGCTCCACAGGTGTAGCTACATTAAGTTTTCTTCACAACACCATGAGGACAATCAGAGATTTACCTATTCAGCAAACATTAGCAGATTATCTAAATACCTCAGCAGCTTAAAATTCCCTAACCACTTTGCTTAACTAAAAAAAAACAATTAAGAAGTTATTGTTAATTAATTTTCAACCTTAAATGAAAAGTAATAGCTTATATGGTAAAGTTGATAGATTTATATAATTTTTTTGTTCTTATATTTAGTCTCTCTGTTTTGTAATGATTTTAGTCTTTGCCTTTAAAGTGCGAATCTTCCAAAACAAACCCCGGGGTTTTACAGGAAAGTTATTTAGCTTTAGGAACTTTAGTAAACAGATATTGTTTATCACATTTTCTGTTTTTGTTTCAATATTCAAAATCAACTTTTTATGCTCCAAAAGGGTAATAAAAAATACCACAACATGCAGTAACTTTCACGGACGAGAAGATACTGCACCAGGATTAAGTAAGCCTACTGTAGCTGTAAGCATGATTGGGAGCAGGTTAGCTGCACAGAATAAAGTACCAGATAACTAATATGTTGATGCCTTTTTGAAATCGAGCTGAGGTTTCATAGGCAAGGATAATCATCTGATCCTGAAAATTAATGTAACAAGAGAGATGAATGTAGATTTCAGAATTAAGAGGAACAAGGCAAATGCTTGAAGAAGTGGTTGTTGGGAGCTGGAGAAATTCCACCTTTCTCCAGCAGAGTCCGCCGTGGATCCTCTGAGGGAGCCTCCTGCTCAGCTGCAGCTCATCAAGATCATCAGAGGATCCACTACTTAAGCTGTCTTCAGACCTTGCCTCAACGCCGCAGTGTTGTTCCAGTTGGTCAGCGCTTAAGCCTAGATCCTCAGTGAAACTCTATGACTTTGAATCCAGCCTGGATTCTAACTATTGTCTCTGTCTTCCAGGAAACCTGTGCCTCCTCTGTGAAAGCTCAGGAAGAGCTAACCTGCCGAGCCGACCCTCAGAGCCAAACCTGAAGAATCTCAGAGAACCTCCAAGCAGCTCTGGACTAGAGCTGAAAAACCCAAAACCAAGGTCTGTTCATTATAGACGTGAGACGCTGAAGCAGCAAACGGACTCTGCTGTTGAACTCCTCTCCAGATCCAACAGTGACTCTCCCAAGGCTAACCTCAAGAACCCTCAAGGTACAATCAGTGATCCTCTGGAAATCAAACCTCTGTTGGCAACGCTAACTGAACTGTCTCTCACGCAGACTCCGGTGAACCAGTATCCAGGCCCCGAACCAGAACCTGTACATTCTGTGTGCTTGTGCATAATAAACTTGTTAAACTTTCATCCCTGTGTCCGTCAGTGGTGTTCTGCATTCTTGGGTCGCTTTTAGTGAACCCATCATGACAGTGGTGTTGGTGGAGGGGAATAAATGTTCCCCTGGACAAGAGTCTTGACAAGAGACACAACTGTGAAGATGTTTACTAGAGACTAAATAGCAGCCTCTACTTCCTGAGGAAGCTTAGGTCTTTCAATGTACAGTAAGTGGGATCTCCTCTGCTATAATCTGTTGGGGTTTCAGCTTCAGAGCACATGACTTAAAGAAGTTTAACAAGCTGATACAGAAAACTGTCTCTATTCTGGAACTCCTTTAGAACCTCTGAGGAAGACCTTAATAATTCTTCATAAGATGAAGTACATTGAAGACAACCCTCCTATTAACAACAGCTGTTAAAGGAAAAGTCCGGTCAGCAAGGAATGATCAATGGATCATTATCTATACCTAAAACTAATACATTCACTGTGATTTTAATGAATTTAGTGTCCATCCATCCAGTTTCTGACATGCTTAATCCCAAATGGTGTCGCAAGGGGTGCTGGTGCCAATCTCCAGCTGTCTTTGGTCGAGAGGATACACCCTGGACAGGTCGCTAGTCAATCGCAGGGCAGCACAGAGACAAACAGGACAAACAACCATTCACGCACACACTCACACCTAAGGAGAATTTAGAGAAGCCAATGAACCTAACAGTCTTGTTTTTGGACTGTTGGAGGAAGCCGGGTACCCAGAGAGAACCCAGGCATGAGAACCCGGGCGAAAATCGAACCCACAACCTTCTTACCCACTGAAAATATAAAAAATAAAATTTTTTTGTCACAATCACTGAGTCCTGATATAGTACTCCTGACATCTTTCGGCAGTGACGCCATGGTGCGGTAAGCCTAGCGCCATTTTCCCTGCTTTACAGGCAAAATCAATGGGAACTACAAGACAGATCCTTAATCAACAATTATTTAAGATTTACCGAGGACTTCGCCATTGAAATTCATGAGAGCCATAGTTAAACTGACAATGTCCATGTGCATGACAATTGAATGCTGCAATAGTGTACATCGGGTAAAAGTGGAAAATAATTAGTTATTTCACCTTTCCGATTCATGATCCAACATGGGTTTGTTGTTGGATTGCCAACTTGGAGAGGGAGAATTTGCCGTTGAATGTAGCCAACATTTCAAAGAAAAATGTTTTTAAGATGACTCGGATAATAGCGTGTTGTGACAAACCACAGATACAGCATTGGGACTTGATTAACAGCCGATACCACAACGTGACGTCACAAACCGGTAGGTAGCAGTAGTGTTCTTTGACAAACATGGATGTCTCCATTCAAATGGAATTACTCTTAATTAAAAGCACTTATCATTTATTAAACAGTATGGAATAATTTCATATTTAAAATACTTTCAGAAGTTCTAAGTCTGAATATGACTGGACTTTTCCTTTAACATTTACAACAACTTCTTGAAGAAAAACTTTGAGAGTTACATTTCCCTTCTGTATGAAAAAAAATACATTTTTAACTGAAATTAAATGAAAGGGGAACCTTCCACCAAAGTTATTTTCTTTAAGTATTGTTCTTTATTTAGAGCTACCCATCTTTCCATCATCTTCCTCTATTCCTAATAAGAGGAGTTGCCTCACCATGATGTCACAAGTTGTGGGGATTTAGAGTCAAATGTTATGTGCAGTGTTATTTTTATAGCTAGACATAAAGCTTTTTGTATAGAACAAAAAGTTCAGGTTTAGGTAAGAGCTAATCTGAGAAAATTGATTTAGATGCCTCCACTTGGCTTGTGAGAAACCTTAATCATGGATTTTTAATGACTGCTATTTATCAATGGTTGTCTTATCATTGCAACCATTAAAGTCAAATTTGCAAAGTGCACAACTAATTGTTGCTCTGCCAACAGCTTAAGTCTGTTAAGCTGTTGGCTGCTTATTTTATTTCTTATTATTTCATAAACGCCGATCATGAAGATTACTTCTCAATTTTAGATTTTCCCTTTATTTAACCTCGACCGGTGAAGATTGCTTTGTAGATTGATCACCTGCCTCTGCCCTGTCAATAAGCAGTTTAATCTTCAGTGCTGAGGTTACTGGGCATTGCTGTGCTTAAAGGGGTTAAGTCGTGTTATATTACTTTTTTTTTTTATTCATACCCCAATAGTTCACTCTAGTTGCATGCAAAGTTTTCTAAAGGATTATCATGTTCTGCTTGCAAATTATACGCAACTTTTGTGTTTTAGACTCAATTTCTTAGCTAGTAAAACCCTCTGTATATAACAACAGCACTTGACCAGAAGTATGACACTGAACATGCGGGGATAAACAAGGAAGATATGTGTCTAAGCCAGCTATAGTAGTAACGCTCTGTCGCTCTGTTCCGGGCTGCTCGGTTCAAATGCCTGGTCGGGTTCACAGTCTGTATGTGAATGTATGTCAATTTCGGGGCGTGACAAAAGTACAGGCCAGAACCAAATAAGGCAACATCCCCCAACTGACGTCAAATCTGTGCTTTGTTTGAATTCGCCCCTTTTATGGTGGAAGTTTAGAATTCTGAGATTTGCAGAGAAAGGAGGTGTTGATGGGGATTAAACTTCTCTGTACGTCCATTTCACCCACTGAACTACCGTTATTCATCTATGACGATGTAAATTCCGTTTTGCATTCAACAACCCCTTTAATGAAACGGACCACTGGTGCTGGGATTCTATTTAGGCTCCAAAAAGAGGTATCAAACATAATAATGGCCGATATTGCTGTACGTAGCCTTATTTTATCTTGATCAAGTGTTTTCGGTCTTATTTAACAGGATAATATATATATATCCCACTATGCCCCTTTAAACTCTGTCATAGTTCAAAAAAGCACAATTTTTTGGTAACTATATACCTTATCGCTAAATAAATTTTTATACTCACTTATTTTGTGGAGAGAAAAGATAGACAGACCAGTTCTCTCTAGTTTCACACCAGTCTGGCTTGTATACCTCCATCATCTTCTGAATACGAAAGCACCAACTCTTTATGGTAAGAAAAAAAAAAAAAAAAAGCTTTCAGTCACTTAAGAGGGTTAATTTACATTAATTAATTACAAGCATTTCAATATGTAAAAAAAAAAAAGCAATTAACAGCATTTTGTGATATGCATAAGAATAGACAGGAGGAAAAGCCTGTTTTAACTCAGAAAATCCATGTAATCTAAATGAATTTATCTTTATTAAACTTAACTGTAGTCTACATGAGACCCTATGCACAGTGGTTACACCTACACTATAATAATCTCAGTGCTCCCCACCACTGCTCTAGGCTCTTGGATGAGAGAAGAAACATCTTCTAGAAAAGTTTATGTCCAGTTGCCTAAGCTGAACTCTTCAAGCCAGTGGTAGGTTTATTCTTCTGAAACCTCTCTCTGCCTCAGTCACCACCATTTTCTAAACCCTTCCCCTCACTGTTCAGTAAAGTTAGCAAACTCTCTAGCTGACCGGAATTCGAGTCACATCATGCAGTAGCTGCTATAAAAATCCTTGAGGAGGGGAAGAGGCTGAGCATCTCTAAGTGGATGCAGCAAAAATGTTGCAGAAAAATACAGATATATACTTAAGACAACAAGTGCAACAGCAAGAGCAGAACTGTCAGTATAAGAAGCATCAGAGCAGAGATAGAGCAGGGTGATAGGTGAGAAACTGCTGAGAAAAAAGAGAGATGACTGAATGAATCCTAACAGACAGCTAAGAACTAGCTGAAGATGTTAGAATTAGCAGACTGAATTAAGATCTAAGAATCCATCCATCTTTTCTTATTTATTCTGTCAGGGTTGTAATAGGGTTGTGGCTTTTTAGCCAAAGGTGGGGTACCTAATGGACCAGTCTCAGGGAACACATAGACACACAAACATGCACACACACTCACACCTAAGGAGTATTTAGACAGGCAAATGAACCTAACAGCCATGCCATTGGACAGTGTGAGGAAGCCAGAGTACCCAGAGAGAACCCACACCCGCACAGGGAGAACATGCAAACTCCATGCAGAAAGACCCCAGACCATGTATTGAACCCAGCACCTTCTTGCTGCAAGGCAACAGCGCTAGCCACTGGGTATTAAGTACTGGCATAATACAGAATATATTTCTGTAAAAGTTTTTGTGCTATGAGAAGACATGTCAGCATTTGTTCTAATATAATCTTACAGAGATATGTTTTTGGTAGGAAGAGGGTATAGAGGTACAGGGTGGGGATGCCTTTATTTGCCTTCAATGTCATACATAGTGATGACCAGATTTACATTTGCCACAATGTATTAAGAGTAGCTCTACTCTAATATAGTTTTACTTTAGTAAAAGTAGAAATTGTGATTCAAAAGAAAAATACTCAAGAATAAGAGTGTTAGGATTCCAGTTTATGTGGGTTGTTTTTGTGTTTTCCTCTCTCCACCACCTGTCCTCCCTGTCCTCGTTGGGCCTCCCTGCACACCTGTGGCTCGTTGGGCCATTACCGGAGGAGTACTTGAGCAGCGGGCTGTCACTACCTCGCAAGAGTGTTTGCCAGTTTTGGGTACTCTAGCCAAGCTGAGATTAGCAGAGTCTAAAACTTAGCATTGTTTCTCTGAGTCTGATCTTGTTTTTGTCTTGCTCTTCGGCAGGAAGCCTTCCTGTGAAACTGGGTAGCCTGGACCTTCTCTTCCTGGAAGGATTTACTGAGTTCACACTGAGCAGGGGAAAACGTCCACATGTGGAAAACCAAGTAACAGTCCGCTCCTTAACTCCTCTGGGTCCAACGTGTGTCTGTCTGTCCGCTCTCCAACAAGTTCCCTCTTCTCTGGATTAAAACCCCCACAAACTGGATTTAACGATTACCTAAGAGCCCCCCAAACGCGAGTTTCTCTCCAGCATATTCAAGCCTTAGTCATTTATCCTACAGTATTGAACTGATCCCTGTGATCTCCACTTCAGACTTTCCGGTTCCGGTTCACCAGTCCGCTGAATTCCTGCTTCTTCTTCAGTATTTGTCTTCATTCAATAAACCTGTTAAATTTTGCCCTTGGTCTCTGACTGGTTCTCTGCATGTGGGTAAGATCACTAAAACCAATTATGACAAAGAGATTGTCAAACTGGCCTACTACTTGTGGATTAAATGTTTAAACATTCTATTAAACATTCTATATCAACATAATATTAGGTGGAAAACATATGATCTTAAATGCAATCATGGAATTTTACAGACTTCAAAAACAAAAGATTAAAAAAAAATGATTAAAAAATTATTTCAGGCAGGATAAATGGGCATAAAAAATAAAATGACCAAAAGTTAGATTATAAACAGTAGTTTTGCTGTGCTCATATGAGCATTTATTTAATAATTGAGAAGAAGGGTTTTTGGAAATTAAAATGTGGTTTATTTTGTGGATATATGTTTTTTGAATAAAATCCTATTGTGGTTTATTTTGTGGATATATGTTTTTTGAATAAAATCCTATTGCATTTAATTAATGACAGACGCTGCAATTAGCTTGCTCAAAAACTGTAATTACATCCAACCACGATTTAAATATCCTGGGGCACATGGATAGAGTAAGAAAGTATAGTAAATGCCACCCTTTAAGAGCATATATTTTTAGTTTTAACCTCATAGTTACCTAATTCACCATAACTTAAATAGCTTTTAAGATTTGGGTTTCAATATTAAAAATGCACAGGTTAAAATATAATGCTTAGTTAGTTTAAATAATAAATACAAAGATGATTTACCACTCACATAGTCTGTTTCTTCATCTAGATCTGTCCTGTCCTTGCGTGCATTTACTTGCGGGAAGACATCAGTTATCAGATGATTGTGATGACCTGATGCCTTTCCATTACAGTCCCTGTGTTCAAGGCCTAAACCACTACCAACTCCCGAGCCTCCCATGAGACTGCCTACTGCCCCAGAACCATTCTTTCTTCCATGATCTTTAATCTGTGTTGGGGGCAGTCCTGGAGCTTGTCCACCTGTGCGGAGCAACTCTGGGAGTTCCAGTGAAAGAGCCCTTCGATCCCCTCTTGCACCAAAATGTTTGGAGAGGAACAAAGAGGGTGGGAGAGGATGATGGGAGTGCACAGGGTGCGAGAGAAGGGACTCTTGCTCTGAAGCATGGTTGTAGGAGTAGGGTGAGCGGGTACTGCGGACGCGCAGGCTGCCTCCAACTGGAGGTACCCCACCAGAACCATAGCTCCTCCTCCCAAGGCTGTTTGAGCTAGACCTACAGTGCAGAAGGAAAAAAAGCACAATTTAAGGCTAATAGATATTGACAATCGAAATACAAATGTACAAGGTATCAAGAAAAGTCTCTATATTTCCCACAATACTAATTAAAGGTAAGCACCAACAGCAGGTTCAAGTTTGGGCTATTCAGTCTTATTAAACTATTAGGAATTCATTAAGATAAAATGTAAAATCGTCTACCTGCGACTCCATACAGACTGTGGAGGAAAAGGACGGCCCCAGTTGTGGTAGTTGGAACTGCGACCATGACGCTAAAACAGAAACACAATAATATATCAAATTGTTTACTGAGAAACAAAATATGCAAGAGGTTAAACTTATCATGCACAGAAAAGTTGGATGCAGGAAAAAAAATACAAGGCACGTTTAAAAAGCTGTGGGGAATGGGACAGTCAGTGCTTAAAACAAACAAGGAAATGACAAGTCAGAGTGCACTGAGATTAAGAATTTAAGATAATAAATTATGCCACTTCAATTCCCCAAAAGAAGCAGTATTAAAAAGAGGTTTAAATTTTAACATCTTTAGGCCAAAATTGAACATTGGAAAAATGTGAATAAAATCATGTTTCTGATTTTGCAGCATTACACCATTGTAGGATTAATAAAAGCCAAATTAACAAAAGCCAAATGTCTTGGGTTATCTTAAGGTGATTCCGATATGTTTTTGATGAAAACACATATCAAAGACTAGAAAATAATCAGAATCAAATTTTCAAAAGCAGTAGGTAAGGAGGCAAGATTTTTGTCCAATGCATGACAAAATGTAAAGCTTTCAAGAGTCATTAGAAGTCATTATTTCACAAATAGGAAAAGAGTTTTCAGTTCTTCATCAACAAGAAATAATTTTATTTTTGCAAGGTCAGGTTGTGCAAACAGACCACATTATCAAACACAGGAACAACCCATTTAGAAGCGAGAAACTGGTTTTATCACAGCACTGCATCAATTTGAGTCTCATCAACGGCAACAATGATTAGTGTGACAACAACAAAGCAGAGTACCAACAAATGGATCTGATTTACAGCCTGAAGTGTGTTATCATCAAAGTACTGACTAAATAGCGCTCACAAAACTACAGCTGGAACAGAAAATTAAGTTCTTCATAAACAACTCTCTCCAATGCCTGACATCTGATTGCTTTCAGCACCAAGATGTGCAATTGGTCTATTCTTATCAAAAACCTGAGAGTGTGAAGAAGTGCAAGAATATTTAAATGGATGTTATGGATACATTTTGTTTAACATGATTACCTCTACGATATGAAGGAGCAAGACTCTTGCTATCTCACTGGTGTACTTGGCTCCTCAGTGCTAACTCACTTACATGTCAACCTGCACCATGTTGTGTGTGTTTATTCTTTCCTACTATACACTCACACACACAGAGCTTTGTTTTCATGATATATGGGGGTATTTCATTGACCTACAGATTTATTTTATATGGCCTTACCCAGACCTTAACCCTAACTTTTATCAACATATACCTAACCTTAACCCTAATCTAAAGTTAATTCACACCTTGGTAGGGCTGGGTATTGTTAAAAAATTTTCGGTTCCGGTACTAATACCGATACCTTCACTTCGATACCGGTTCCTGAACGATACTTTTTTCGATACCAGTTTTATAATATCATTTCGAAGAAAAAGAAAATTACACAACATTAAAAAGTACAAATCTTGAGTTTTATTTTAAGCTCTGATTTTTCCATTTACATTTTTCCTCTTACATAAAAAAAAAAAAAAATTCAGCGTCTAATATTCACTGTTACATTGTGAGGACCTTTTTACTTAGCAGTTTCCCTTTAGAAAAATTACCATGTCTGACAAACAAGCCCGTTGAATGGGAATCCTATTGAAAGCGCACAGCTGGTATGTGGGGGTCTGAGCGGCTCCGACAGAAATATTGGAAGGCAGGATGAACTGATTGCACCGATTAAGTTTTCAGGTGGATTTTCCCACTTAAAAACATAATAAAACTACTTTATTCCCACTGATCACAGCAAATATAGCTGCAAGGCAAATAAAGGATAGAGTAGCTCCGCCCAACCGTGTCAGAGCCACTTTTCGACCGCGCAGCCAGAGCAGCAAAGCTTCTTCAGCCGCGCGTCAGAAGGTAGCACAAGCAGCAAAAAGGAAGCAGCAGACGTGATTTTGCTGCTCCTGCTGCGTCCAGTTTGAAAGCAACATGATTCACTCCGCTCTGGCTTTGCACCGCCCACGGGCTGCTGAGAGGAGGATGGTCGCGCCGGCTGCGGTCCGCTCTTCTTGCAGTCAAACACCGAGCAACTTTCTGCTCTTAAATAGTTTCCGTGCACGATGTATTGCATTGCGCACTATCGCATCAGTCTTAATAAAGTGAAGCTACACTTTTGACCTGGGGGGCATTTTAAAGGGGTTCCACGACGCTGCAACCAGTTCACAACAGATACACATGAACCCTGGCTGTAGGCGTGACCACCTATGTATTTTTCCTGGATGACGCAATCACGTTAAGTGTTACAGCCAATCACCGAAACTTGGCACCGAAAGACGAGGCATGTTTCGATACTCTGTAGAACCGAAGCATTTCGGTCGGTACCATAAAAGAACCGAAGTTCGGTACCCAGCCCTACACCTTGGTGCTAGTCCCAACCCCAACACAAAGCATAGAACTAAGAAATGGTGTTGGGTTTAATACTTATTTCATCCGCTGTGGATGGATTGATGGATGAATAAATGGACATAAAGACAGACAGACAATCAGATAGACAGACAGACAGACAGGGAGAGAGATAGATGAAAGCACATTGAAGCATGTTATTTCATCAAATCAGACCTGCTTCCCAGACAAACAAGAATCCACTTTTGAAATTATAAAAAAACATTAATGCCTTGACAATGTGAACCTGTTTCAAAGGAATAAAGTTCTACATTGTCTATTCACTATATACAAACTTGTATTCAGTTGTTAAATTAGTATCAGAGCAACAGCAACATATATTAGTGAATTTTAGGATTAACCCAACAGACTTTAAAAAACCTCCCAAATGAATTCTACAAGATATTCGCTCTGATATAAAGAGAGCACATGAGTCTCAGTGGATGACAGGGTGACAAAGTACCAGAGAAAGGGAGCGTCTCTCCATGCTGCTCTTCCCCAGACTCATTAGGCTGCTCTTTCTGGATTCATTGGTGAAGCTCTGCTTCTCTGAAGAATAGGATCCCCTTGAGCCATAGAGGGCACCAAGCTCCAGGTGACCGTTTGGTGTTAAAGTACAAATCCTCGGATCTACAGATCATTGAGAGAAGAGAATTATTTTTTTTTTTTTTCACTTGTCCCAAAATTTTAAATAGATCATATAATGATCAGCAGATCTCATACAAGAAATGAAGACATTTTAGGTAAAAAAGGACATTTACTTTTGTCAGTCTTGTATTTTAGTAAAATAAATAGTGTGTTGAATTGAATATTTTCTTTAATTCATTCATTCATTTCTTTTTGTCTTTTCAATGTGATCTATATGTATTACCTATTTTGCATTTATCAGAACAAAATAGTCAATGTGATGCTTTATAAGAATTGTGATAAAACACTTGCCCTAAAACAAATGCATTTTATTTTAAATGTAATTCTAACAATGGTCCAAAACATTCATTTATTTTCTTTTATAAATTCTACCTTTTGTTCCAGAGTTTAAAATGTATTGTAATCTTCAGTCTTTAGGAAATAAAAAGAACTTAAATGTGCCCTTTTGGTAATTAGGTAATGATTAAAGCGTTTTAATGCCAAAATTATCACACATGAAGAGATTCTAGCTGTAATTCTAGCAATCCATTTACTCTAGGGCAATGTTTCAAATAGTTAACTTTTTAAGTTAGGCATTAAAAATAAAGTTGTGTAAACTGCTTTGAAACAAACTTCTGTTTTTCTTTTATGTTTTTTCTCTTACACCTTAAGTCTGCATAAACCCATAAAGGTTAAAAGTTTAGGCAAACACAAAAAAAAAAAATACATTATTTCTCGCTTATGAACAATAGCAACCACTAGCTCATGTAAGATACTTTATTTTGATTGAAAGTGACTGACCTAAAGAGATGATTGTTAGGATCCTCAGGCTTGCCCTCCAGCGGGCGCCGAGGATCCTCTTCTGCTCTGTGTTTTCCCCTTAGGGTTGAGTTTCTGTGGGGATCTGGAGACTACCCTCTGTCTCCAGCAGAGTGCGCCGTGGGTCTTCTGGAGCTGGAACCTTCCTGCACACCTGTTGCTAATCCTCTCATCAGAAGACCTCTCCTATATAAGCTGACTTCAGACCTTGATTCCACGCCGCAGTGTTGATCTTAGTTGGTTAGCTTCCTGAGCCTCTGTTACTGAAGAATCTTTGTTACCTCTAGTGTGAGATCAGATTCTAATTCTTCCTTATCTCTGTCTCACAGGAATCCTGTCTCTTCGTGAAAACTCTGGATGAGCTTAACCTCCTGTCTCTTCGTGAAAGCTCTGGATGAGCTTAACCTCCTGTCTCTTCGTGAAAGCTCTGGATGAGCTTAACCTCCTTTCTCTTCGTGAAGCCCTGGAAGAGCTGTCTCTCTGGCAACCTGTCTCTGGCCTGCAGCTCTGGGAGAGTTGCATCACAGGAAACCAGTTTCAAGCCTGAAGCTCTAGGAGACCTAACCAGCTAATCTGCCCTGGTGAGCCAACCCAAGATTTCTACGTGGTTGAAACCTGATGACTTCTTTGAGGAGTTTCCCCAGAGGTTCCCATGCGGATTATCCCCTGTTGTTCTCTGCGTTGAGCTGGAAGCTCAGATCCTAGCTAGCCTAGCTAAGCTTACAGCTAGAGGCTTAGCCCCTCATGATCCCAGTTAACCAGCCATCCCCCGTTCCCTGCACAGACTCCAGTGAACCAGCCTCCTGCCTGAACTGTTCCGGTTTCATAATTCATGTGTTTTGTGCAAAAATAAACTCTTTTGGACTTTTACCAGTGTCTCCGTGTGTGTTCTGCATCTTGGGCTTTACTCCCAGAACCCATCATGACAATGATAGCATGACTGTGAGTTGAAAGCATTTTTTTTTTTTTACAAACCAAAACCTAAAAAGTCTTCCTTGCTTTTGTATTGTACCCCTATTTGTTTTTATCCAAATTAAAATATTTGTTGTTCAAACCATAAAAATATGCAAATCCTCTTTTTATTTTTTCTGCATTTGTCATTTTTTCCCAAGATTTAAAAAGTTTGCAATTTGAATGTATTTCTAAAATTAATAACAAACACCTTAATTCCAAATGGTGGAAAAAAAAAGTTGTGGTAGTTATTAAACAATAATTAATTAATTAATTGCAACATTTTTCATGCAAGTTCTTTTCCTCCCTTTTTATCTTCTTTTCTACCTACATGACTTTCCCATTTTAAAAGGCACATCTCTTTCCAGTTTTTCTTTTATTCTTTTACAAATAAATGTATTTTTTTGCCTCTAGGAAATTTTACAAACAATAAAAAGGAACAAAATATTTGCAGCATAAATGAGGCAGAACTTCAAATGGGAGAGAAGTGAACTCACCAGACAGCTTTATTGAGTCACGTTTCTCACTCTCATCATAGTTTGAAGAAGAGTGGTCATCATCAGAGTAGGAGCGATTCGCATCACCCTAAACGTGGAGAAAGAAGACATGATGCAGGAAGGGAAGTAAGAAACCACCAGCGTGAAACATCAAAGTAAGGGGACTTTTCAGGGACAAAGAAAAATGCATCTTTTCCTTAAAGAGGAAATTTAGCTTCTAACTCATCCTTCCTACAGTGTTATTAACCAAGGTTATAATAACTACACATGGTTTCTACCAACTGTTATTAGGTTTTTCATCATTATTGATGCTCAGAACTGTTTGGATAATTATCATTGATGCCACATAAATCAATTTCATATATAAAGGGGTTATTTGCTACTAAGTAACTACCAATACGTAGTTACTTAGCCACCCAAGAGATTCAGTTTAGTTTTTTCTCTTGAGATTAAATCAGCACCTGCTTAAGATCACTAACACCCTATTTTAGAACTCCTCACAGGTTTGGTTAAGACCTATAGGATTTTCCCTAGAGCCATTGTAACAGTAAAGTGGTTCAATGACTCCTTCTGTGTAGCAACAGCAGCTTGCAAAGGCGTTAGAGCCTGAGGGGGGCAGGCTGACAGGTAGAACTATCAGCAAAAAAAAAAACAGGAGAGAAGCAGATTTGAAGACTGATGTTGTCATGTGTATGAGTGTGCCTGTCATTCACACATCATAATTTCATTCAGTGGAAACCTTATATCATTGAGCTATGTTTAAAAAGTTAACTTTAATGATTATGGATGAATTGAATCTGCATAGAGAAAAAAATCAGAGCTTTGTCAAGCTCCAAATGACTCTGGAAAAGGTCAGAGTCTAAACTCCTTGACCTCCACAGACAGATGGCTTCCAACTGGAGAGGAGTATGCTGAGAATGCACAGACAGGAGGGGTGTCTGTGTGAGGGGGTTTAACATAGAAAAATGTAATTCTTTTTTATATTTACTTGGTTTGACATGTTTATAAAGGATTTCTAACTTATTTTTTATATGTTGTAATTGTTTGACATGCATTGCAAGATTGATAAGACTACATCTCTTTCACAGATTATAGCAGGAAAAAAATGTAAAAACAACTGCAACATTTGTTAAACATAATCTATATAAAGCTGCCTTTGGAAGAAAATAACTTATTGAAATTATCCATAGCCTACGTCTGAGATATTGTTGTCCTTGATTGTATTGTTAATAGGGTTAGCCAATACATTACACTCTGGGCATATTGACATGCATAATACTTTTGTTTGTCATGGCACCACTGTGCCTACCAAACATAATTTTTCAACTTGCCACCTCATTTAACACATCTATCACTGCCTTGCAAAAACTGCATTTCTTCTTCTTGGCTTCCATGATAGCCATGAAATAAAATTGACCAGCTGGTTTATTTAAATACACAATGACATTCATTTTTCTTTAAAAGAAACTGTGCTTTAAAGCTTTATTTAGAGTGAATTCCACATGTTTCAGTCACACTGATTAAATGTGGTGTTTAAAAACAACTCAGTTGACAGGAATAAAGATATGATGATGAGCGACATGCCGATCAGCTTCGTTTTTCAATAGATGAAGAACTGCTATAATTATGTTCAAGTAATACAGTTATTGATTCTGTAAAAATTTATTACAATAGGCTTATGCTAAGTTTAGATTGAAAACAGCAGACCCAGTGGAAGCAGCTAGTTGACATGTAAAGTCAATGGTTGACGTGCATCAAGGTGCAGCAAACGGTCCCACAGCACGTTTTCAGCAGCAGGAGAAAGCTGACGCAGCGCCTCACGTTCTTTTGAGCATCTACAGCAGCTGCTGGAGTAGGAAAAATTTAACTTTTGCTGCTCGACGCGCCACATCAACCAACCAGACAAGCTGATTATGGAGCTGGCAGGGACACAGGCACATCATTGCTGATGCAGATCGCTATGATCACTCCTCCGAAACAGTTTATTAATGCCTATATTAACTTAAAATGTTGGCAAAATATCCATTCATCCATTTTCCTCTGCTATATCCGGTGCCGGGTCTCGGAGGCAGCAGTCAAAGCAAAGATTCCCAGACTTCCCAATCCAATACAGACAATTTCTTCAGCTGTTCTGCGGGGATCCCAAGGCAAAACCAGGTCAGCTCAGAGACATAGTCCCTCCAGCGTGTCCTGGAGGGACTTGTCCTTCCATGAGGCCTGCACCCAATGGGACATGCCTGGAACACCTCCCGAGGGATGCGACCAGGAGGTATCCGAAACAGATGCCCGAGCCACCTCAGCTGGCTCCTTTCAACATGAAAAAATAACGACTCTACTCCGAGCTCCTCCCGGCTAACTGAGCTCCTCACCCGATCTCGAAGGGTGCCACCCTGAGAGGGAAATTCATTTTGGCCACTTGTATTCACGCTTTCGTCCTTTCGGTCATTACTCAGATCTCATGACCATAGGTGAGGGTGGGAACGTAGGTAGATCGGTAAATCCAGAGCTTTGCCTCCCGACTCAGTTCCCTCTTCACTACGACAGTCCGATACAGTGACCGCATCACTACCAATGCTGCACCGATTTGTCTGTCGATCTCATGCTCCATCCATCCCTCACTCGTGAACAGGACACTGAGATAAATGAACTCCTCCATTGAGACAAGGACTCTCCACGGACCTGAAGAGGGGAGTCCGCCTTTCTCTAGTAGAGAACCATGGCCTTGGATTTGGAGGTGCTTTTCCTCATCTCGTCCGCTTCACACTCGTCTGCAAACTGCCTGAGTCGAACCTCATATCCAAGAGGAATAATGCGGTTTTCGTCCGAGTTGCAGCACACTAGACCAGCTCTATAGAAGGCTTTCTAACTTGCACCTTGTGGTGCTCTGTGGGGGGTGTCTGGGGCCCCTGTTAAGGGCTGTCCACTCTCTGTATGAACGCAGCAGGAGCCGTCAAAATGTTTGATTTTAATATTCTGCTGCCTGCAGTTTGGATTACATACATGAAATACGCCTTCCAGCCGTCGTGAACAGTAGCAGAAAAACCCCCAAGAGGCGACCGGGCAAGAGGCTGCCGTGAAACAGGATTCCTACTGAAAACGCACCGCAACTGTTCAGGGGTCTGAGCGGCTCCGACAGCGAAATAATACTGTATTAGTAGGCAGGATCATAATCTTGATGAACTGACTGCACAGATGGGGTTTTCAGGTGGGCTTTCTCACTTAGAAACATATTAAAGCTACTTTTTACCCACTTATAACAGCAAATATAGCTGACATTGTTACAGGCAAAGAAAGGATAGGGTAGCTCCGCCCAATGCTCATCAGAGCCACTTTTCAACCATGCAGCTAGAGCAGCAAAGATTCCTCAGCCACGCATCAGAGCTAAACTTGTAGAAGCATAAAAATTGAAGCAGCATACTCATTTTTGATGCTTTTGCTGCGTGCGGTCTGAATGTACCATTAGGATTAGAATTAATTCGATAATAACAACCTACTGAGCCTACTTTTAGGTAGGAGGTACAATCTGTACTCTTTTTATGGGACTGATAATCAATTTGGGTTGGGGTTCAGGGGGAACATGAGGCCATGCTGATGATCGCAAACAAACAGCCATTGATATAGGTTTGTGGAACAAACAAAATGTTAAAAGTACAGGCGGTTTTTTTTCAAAAAAGGAAATTGATTGATTTTGTGCTTGTGTACAGCTTTTATGAATATGATTTTTGCCATCATACCATTTCTGTATTTTTGCTGTTTGTACAATTTCAGAATATATTCCACACAATGTTTAATAAATGAAACCCTGGTCATGAGTTTGAATACATCAGTCATCAGCAAAGAAGATAAATATATACACACACACACACACACACATATATATATATATATATATATATATATATATATGGTTATATATATGTATGTTACAGAGAAATGAAATGCTTTTTTAGTTATTAAGAAGCTTCAGGCATATTTATGGTTGAATCTTTGACCTCTTATGAAAACTGGCAAAACACATTTGGATTGATTGGTTTTCTGGTTCAGATAGAGCTTTTAAGCTCAGGCCATACATTCTCAATTAAAGAGTCCAGACCTTTTCTCTCTTCGACACACTCTTGTCGCATGTTAATGTTAAAATAACTTGACATTTGACAGTAATAACAGTGTTTCTGTTTCTTTTATAACAAATTTATCATAAAAAAGAACTCAGGATTTACCTCTGCCTGAAACCCTTCAACCAAAATGGCCACTAGTAGATTAAAGAGGACATAGTTTCCAAATGTCATGAGCGCCACAAAGTAAAGAGCAGCAAGTGGCGAGGTGGCTGCCATGCCGTTGTACAAAACCGCGTTCCAATCCTCCTGAGTCAGAATCTAAAGGAAAGGCAAAGAAAAAGAATAAAATTCATATTAGCTTAACACACACACTTATAAAAACCATAATGAGCATATTACTATATTTAACTACTGTAGATTATCAGCTTAATAAGTTGAATACCTGGAAAACAGTGACAATAGCCCACAGCAAAGAGTCAAAGTTCTTCCTGTCTGGTACTGTATCCCCAGTCTCTGTCTTTAGACTGAATTTACAGCCAAAGATGTGCATCCCGAGAATGCTGCAACAGAAAAAGGTCTTACACAAAAAAACATGTTGGACTGAAACTTATCTTTATCTTCTTTAATTTGTGAAGATATATACAATCTATCTAAATGGTTGGACAATGGTGTATGATGCTCAGCGTCAGATTCTGTTGAAGATGATCATAAATTCAAATTTGCCGTAAAAAATGAATTAAACTATTAATGCTGTAACCCAGGAAAATAACATCTATGAACATTTAGTTAAATAAGTAAATCATATAAATTGCACAAAAAGACAACATATTATGAGTCCTGAAGGCCATTTTGAACTTCCACTGTACTAAAAGTTAAAGAGAATATTAGAGAGCTTTAGTAGACAACCAGAAGGTTGAAGTTTTAAAGCTCTGTTGGTTTTTCCACTATGTAGAGCTCAGAAATGCTACAAGCAAAGTTTTGACAGAAGGTAGGCAACCTGGAAAATACAGAGAGTATTTCCGAATTCAATCCAATTAGTTCTAAATTCGATTTCCTGGTTAAATAATCATAACCAATTACATACATCTCAAAGAAAGTTCTATTAAGTATCCAGAAAACCTACAAGAAAATTAAGTGGTAAAAAAGTACAAGATAAGTCCCATAAGATTTAATAAAGCACCAGATTTATCCAGCTGAAAACTATAGGGACGTAATCGAAACATTTTTAGCCAAGCATTTCAATGTTATAGAGTAAACATCAGCTATCTTACCTGAATATGAAGATGAAGAGCATTAGTAACATACAGAAGGTGGCCACATTGTCCATAGTCTTCATTAGAACGACAAGCTGTCTCCTGAGAGCCGGCATGAACCTCACCAGCTTCAGCACCCTCAACAGCCGGAATGTCCTTAGCACAGATAAACCACCATCCGACTGGCCAACAATCTCACAAACACTGCATTGAGATGCAAACAGAGATAAAAAAATAAAAAAGACTATAGTAGCATGAGGAAACAGCTTGCAGATGTGTATTATTTTCTTTTAAGGAAGAAAATGATACAGAAAAATAATCTCATTTATCTACAGTATGCTGCATCTTTTCAACAAGATATATGTATTTTCTGTCTCAAACATTGTGTGTCACATAAATCCAACTTAATAAACTTACACAGTAAATTCTACAGTGTTAAATATGGAGTGTTAAAGTACATTCAATCTTTTAGTTATTACAACAAAAACTGGAGTAAGGTATACACTATGTAGAGAGGTAATTAAAGACTAATTCAGAGTGAAACCAAATGCACTCGGATTGGTGTAGAATTTAACTCTTAAAGTGTTACTGTAACACTGCAAAATATACTGTTTATGCAAACTTAGATATACCGTAAGCTGAAGGGGAGCCATTTTGTAGGAAAGAATAAAAAAAAAAAATTAAACAGCTGATAAACAGATCAAAATATCTACTCTGCCCTGAATTGATGTAGACTAAATGGGGGCTCTTTCACAGAGTGGGCTTTTCTGAATGATAGAGGACATTCAGTTAAATGAAGACAGCAAAACTGGTTGAGGAGCAAAAGATTAGAAGACAGCCAGAGAAATTTCAATCAACCTGTATCTTTCTGTGATGGGTTGCACATTTGATCTTTTTTCATTTCTCTGTGCTTTGATGTGTATTTGATCTGTGGTTTATAATGGGGATCACAGACAAAGACTTCTAAGCAGATGAATTGGAAAAAACACAAGCAGATCAAAGCTACAGCCATTCACAGAAGGCTCTAGGCACATACAACAAAACACAAAACATGTTTTAGTGCTGCCTGACACCTTGGCTTGCCGGTCTATACAGGTGGTACATTTGAATGAGTCTACATGTATTTGACACTTTAACAAAACTAGAGTTTAATATCACTCTCTCTAATGAATAATCAGTGTTAAAAAAAGCTTAGAAAAAAATGAAAGCAAGCATGATGACTTAATTATAAGTCAATATTTACTCCTGTTCGTAAAATAATACTACTATTCTGCATGATCAATGATGTCCCGGTATACTGTACCTCATTGCAGCACTTCTGCCTTTAAAAATCCATTATTTGTAGATGTTGACATATGTGTGAGGACTTTGTGCATTTGTGTGTACCTTATAATGACGATGATTCCATCGAAGACATTGTAGGGGTTTCGCAAGTAATTGAAAGAGCCAAAAGCAGTTAACTTTAGGATCATCTCCAGGGAAAACATGCTGGTGAAAACGATGTTGCAGATTTCTAGTACATTGGTGAGCTCATCTGGCTGAGCACCACAAAGGCCAAAAATGTGAAATGAAAGAGAAAAAAGAAAGGAAAGGCATTAAAAACTGAGAGCAAAGACAGATAAACAAATCTAGAAAGGATCAGGACAGTTTTTATAGACATAAAATATGCTAAATGGAGGGATTGTAGCTATAGGTTCACTAGACTAAAGCGCTTATAAATATTTCTATTTAGAACATGTTTCGTGATAGTTGAACTTGTTTAGTGAAAAATCATTAGAATCGTTTGATAAAAAAAAAAAAAAAAAAAAAAAAAGAATCGTTTGATAAATACTTACCCTGCTCTGAAAATGTGTTTACACAGCCTTGGATTTGGGGGTCTAATTTGTTACTAATTTGTTATACATCTAAAAATTTATGAGCAATTAACAGGTTTTATCTGTAGCTTGCTACATCTTTTTAAAATGTTATTTAATTAAATTTATGTTAAGCTTTTAGCACAGTTTTCTTGTAATCAAAGTCTATATCCACAATAAAGCCTTTCTTACCAAAAATATCCTAAATAAATAAAGATCAAGTCGTTTTATGTTTAAACACTTTAATAAAACCAAGGATTTATGGTCATATTACCATGGGTCTCAGATAAATACACCCTAGTGTGTATCATTTTAGTGTTTCTAACATGATGTTAGTTGTGCTTGTTCATGAACAAGACATGCATGCTTACACAGATGTACTAAAGGATTTTAATTATTATTCGTCTAAAAAGCTGTTCTAAAAAAATTGCATTGAAGCAATTAGCAATTTTGGGCAACACTCTTGCATCTCTAAGTGTGCATTTTCTATTTTTTTAGTGAAACAGTTTGTTTGTTTGTTTGCTTGTTTGTCACTGTAATAAGTTAGTAGCAGTGCAAATAACTGGTCAACTATACATGTCCATCAGCATGGAGACATGCCAGCCCCTTAAATCTGATCGTAACTCTAACTACATGTGATCCCATCTGACACTTTATAAGCCTATTTCAATGCTTGTATATTTTATAACATAGTGAATGAGACAGTCACACGGCAGCAACTCATTCAATTCGGGCATCTCTGTCAAGTATAGATGACAGATAAGTTTAAAACAAGTATTTGAATGTGTGGAAACAGGATTTAGGTGGCATGGAGTTTGGTATGATTGTTGGTTAATGGTTAGGTGGTCAGAAAAACTGCTAATCTTTTACAACCATCTTTCGGTTCACAGAGCAGCAGAAAACCACTCCAAGTGCCACTGTTGTGGTCCATGAAAAAGATAGAATACAAAATGAGCACTAGTTTTGTGGATATAAATTTGTCAATGAAAGAGCTTAAAGGGAAATATGGAAGTGGGTTTGAAAGAACAGAATGTCTTATGTAGATCAAATAAATGTGTTCCATTCTGAATACTCAACACTTTATCCATAGCGGAATAAGATCCCACCAATAACCACCTGTGTATTTTAGCTTGAATAAGCCCGACATAAATGGAGATGTTATCTCTGCACATGATCACATAATTCAATCAATTCAACTTATGCTTACAGACAACAAATGCGGCGACGATGCACTTTAAAATGTAAAATTAATGAAACTTAAAATCTAAATGGTAAAGAAGTTTTCTATCCAAGGAAATTTAGCATCAATTCACTGATTTGCAGCAATAAGACTGCTTGGATGAGCATGTAGTGACAGTGGACGGTGAATCACATTAGATCATATTTAAAGTCCTTTATTGTCCCGCAGGAAATTGAGTTGTCTAATCGCACCAAACTCCTTGAGCATTCATAAAGTATTTTAATTCATATCTATTTATTTATAGAGTGCCAAATTAACATAACCATGATAAGTGAATGAAATTTAACTGATTATACTTTAGAAATAGGGAATTCCCTGGATGAATTTAAAAAATATCAATTCAAAACTTTATTTTTGTTTTAGTGTCATAAAATGGTGTTTAGTGGGTTTATCGTATTTCTTGTTCTTACAAACTAGACAGGTGCAAAGAAGGCTGTTGACAAATGCTAATGGTAAATATATCGCAGAAATTTAAGTGAAATAATATTCATGTTAAATATTTAACTTTATTAGAAAGTATTTCTAGACAAAGATATACTGCACCTACTTCCTATACTTTATGTTGCTCTTTAGATTGTGTTTAGACAGAAGTCAAAGCAACAGCATTTATATTCTCCAGGGTGAATGGAGGAAGGGCACACCCTTGACAAGTCATCAATCCATCACCATTCCAACAGAGAGGCATACAGAGCAAACAACCATTAACACCCAATGACAGTTTATCAACTCTCAAGTTAATTTACCTAGCCTGATTTTGAACCTTAAGAAGACCCATAGTACTTGAAGAAAGCCATGAATCTAAAAAGAGAACATGCAAGCTTATTCAAAAGGCCCCTATATATGAGCATTTTTTTAACAACCCCCCGCCAGGAACTTTGTATCGCAAAAGCTACTAGAGACAAATCTAGTGACTTTTTTGTGTTTTTGATGGGTTTTACAACTTTATGTGAAAGCAACAATTGTTCTATGTTACTATCTTGCAAAGGTTGACATAGGTAATTCTTTACTACCTTAAGCAACAGTCAGCTGCAGCCACCATATATAGTCAGAGCAAATAGTGAGTTGAGAGGAGACCTACTCCAGTTTCTTATTGGAAATATACAATTGAATCGCCTTATAATGCGTGGGCCCCTGATTACAATCTTTTGCTAAAATTAGCTCTATGCTTTTTGAATTCAGGCAATATATAACATTTATGAATACATTTTAAAATTAAGATTGATTAGATTCCAATTATATTTTAACAACAGACACATAGTGAATTTTTAGAGTTTTGTTTCAGCTACACATGATCATTTTCCCTACCTCCTAGAGCAATCGTGTATATTGAAAAATGTTGGAGGACCAAATATCTTGCAGGATATGTAAGGACCAGATCACAGTTCTGAGACTTAAAAGAGGTCTTTGATACTGGTGTTCAACCAGTGGTGAAGAAATACTCTAGTTTTCTTAGCAGGCAGACATCCTAGCTTTGTATTTCCTCCCCATTAACACAGCAAAGTCTCTCTGTCACTTCCATTCTGTCTCTCTATTTTTAGCAGCAGCTAGGATGAGAGACGACCTACCACTGTGGCGGTGGCAGGCATGAGTGGGCGATGGTATAGCGAGAGTGAGAAATATTGATAGAAATACAAAGAGTTCAGAAAACAGGCAAAAAAAAAAATAAAAACATAGAAAATAAAAAAAGGACAGGGTATGTCAACGCACTAGTTTTATTACTGTGAGGCTTGGTAAATATAAACAGGTTTTGTTTTTTCATAAAAGCGAGAAATACTGCTTATTAATCTTGGTGCAGTCATGTTTTTTTGGTTCAAGAAACTTCCAGTGCCTCAAGGAAGAACTAACACCACCTCATTCCACATTTTGTTGTTACGGCCTTAGTACAAAATGTATTATAACATTTTTTCCCTCTCATTATTTTGCAAACATTGTCATATTCTAACACATTGAAATAAGCCTTAATTAAAAGTATAAAATACAATCAAAGATGAAAAAATTAAAAATACGTGGGCCCTATAGTTTATTTTGTCAAAAAAAAGCCTGTGCAAAGTCATTTATCCAGGTCATTATACCCACAAAGTAGGCTTAAAACAGAGGAAACTGGATTGCCACCAATTGTTTCTTAAAATGTTTTGTCAAGACAAAAACTGCTTTATACCAAAGACAGAACATCCAAACAGAAGCTGGGCAAAGTCGTTAATGTGGTCCATAGCAGCAACAACTGCTCAGATACAAAAGAGCAGACAACATTGACACAGGAGAATGGTAGATGTATACCTGATTTGCATCTGGAAGGACTTGGAAGGTGCCGTGAGGATGGACCTCCAAGTGCTTACAGAAACAGTGAGTAAACCAACTAGACAACGTTCTAGTGCGAGCCATTACTGTAAATCTGACAGGATCCTGGATAGATGTTTTAACATCTATCCAGGATTCTATTGATTTCCTCCAATTTAAACCTTTAAGTATGTGGTTAATTCAACGACTTTTTAATAGAGGCAAGGAATATCTTCAAAGATTTTTCAAAATATTGTGTCAAATTGTTTTGAATGAAGAATGTATTCAATCAAGTTTTAACAAAAACAAATGTAGAACAAGTGAATGTCATATAAATTTATTATATTCTCTAATTTCCCTATTAGATCAACAAAACATTTCTAAATCAAATTGAACTGGAAATGTGAATATATGGCTGTAGTATTGAGATCATTTTGAGTGAACTAAGATTTTCCATTCCACCATTGCAGGTTCTGCAACTGGTTGTTGTGCTCCAAAATAGTTGGAGCTCCAACAAAGATAGTTATTGCCCTTGGTCACCTCTTATAAAATTTTCCAGTGGCACCCCTATTTGAAAGTAATATGAAATTTCTAGAAGTTCTAAACCATTGTAAAATGAAAATATGTACATTCTGTTTAGGTGTTATTCTCTTACATGTTTGTAAGTTAAAATCACTGGAATGTATACTGTCTTTCTTTTTTACGTATAAGACAAAGTCTGCGATCATCTTTCATAATTTCTTCTATAAATAAAATTTCACAATATTTGAATCTTTGGGGTGCAACTGACCAAAAAGATATCTGAGAAAAAAACATCAAGAGGGATATAATGACTAAGAAGAGAATGAAATAAATGCTTACCTGCTCGTGGTGCTCAATCCCCATGCTGATGGTGTTGATTAGGATGGCGATCATGATGCCGCGGTTAAAGTACTTGCTCTCTACAATGCCCCATAACTTCTTCCTTGTCTGCTGCCAAAGTTCTTTACACTGTTTCTTTGGACTACAACCTATATGGTTCTCCCCACAATTCTGTTTTTTTTTGTCCTTGTTTTGGTTTCCTTGCTTTTGCTTATCTTCACTATCATTTTTCTCCCTGGTTCCCTCTTCCGTTTCATTTCCAGCTACACATTGAGATCCAACTCCATCTTTTAGTTTTAGAGCTGCAGCACACCGGGGACAACCATCTACATTCGAGGTAGCAGTCAGGGCTACAGGCTCAGCTGCCGAAGTGTTGTCTGCTTTATGATGATGAGGGCATGGATGAGCTGGCAAAAGAACATGTTTGAAGGTGAGTGTGTATGGCATACACATGCAATACCGCTGTGTTTATCATATTTACAGCCACCTACCAGGCCTTGACACTAGTCTTCTCTCACGTTCTTCTCTTCTATTAACTTTCCCCTCTCTCGCTACCCCTCCATGTCTTCCTCTCCCAATACCTTGGAATCCACGAGGTTTACCTCTTAAGTTGTTAAAAAATGCAATGGTCTGTCTCCTGCCCTTGCGGAGGCAGTGGCAAACCAACTGGAAGAGCTCTTCATAACAATCTCCTGGCTCACTGGCCAACGTCGAAGAGGATGAGCACCGAGCTCGCTGCTCCTGCATTAACTGATGCTCCCGCTGCTTCGTCTCTGAAAACTGGGTTGCAATGACGACAAGGCACAGGTTGATCATGAAAAAGGATCCAACCTGAGGAGATAAGAGGTATGCAAAAAAATTTGTAAATAAATACTTTCCAATTAAATCTCAAACTGGATTTACACTTCATTATATGAATGTCACATTATTAGCCCAGTATAAAAATCTAAAAGTTCATAATTGTGTGTAATAAAATAAAAAAAAATGTTTTATTCTAAGATTTGATTAAACTGTGTTTAAATAAATCTAAAATCAGTCTCATAACTTTGTTATTATCTTAAAGAATTTTCTTTTAGAACTAGTGGTTTTTATTTACAGTTACTGGAAAAGAAATTGTAAAAGAAAGAATGAGTAATATCAGGCAGCAAGGTTGGCAATCAAGCCCAATCAATTTGGCTGCACTTAGGACTGTCCAAACATCTGCTCCAACCCCTAACACCACTAATCACTATTTAGAGTGGGTACTATATAGTGGACTTTATAGTGAACTCAGCTAACTGACTGTTCTAATAGATGATCACTACTTCTCGCTCAACATTGGTCATGTAACTCCGCCTCCCTGCACGGTGCCTGCATCATCTTTGTTATTTGTTACCAACACAATGAATCCCATGATGCTTTGTGAGAAGAGCACTAACAAAGCAATCTGGAATATGGGAGGAGTGGTGGCACAATCACTATGTAGTGCTCTATAGAATAGTGTTTATCCTTGCCAAGGTGTTCAATGACATCCATAGAAATAGAGAGAGTGAAAGATCCACAGTGCTGCTGTTATTTGACCTCAGCGCAGCATTAACACGGGTGCAGCTCTTCACTGATTTAAAGCCCACTTCAAGGAGAGGTACTTGAAGTGACAGAAATAAACGGATACAATTTCCATGATGGAAACTGAGGTAAGTCGGTTATTAGAAGCCCTCACCATTTTTCAATATATTGCATGTACAACTTTTAGCAAATGTCTGAAATGTTGGCGTGGCTGCAACTTAAAGAAAATGTCTTACTGCACAGGAGAGGCTGAGTGGAAACATCTCCTCAGATTAATGCGCAGATTAATGCTCCATAACATCCATGTCATAAAACGGAACAGATGCACCCAGTATTCAAGGTGAGACAGTCAGCAAGGAAGTTCAGAACGTTTATTTACAAAAAACAAACTCAGCACATAACTGCATGGTGTAAGAATCTGGCAGGGAAAGCTTACATGGCACGCCATAACCAAGTGGCTGGAGTAGTGTACAGGAACATCTGGACAGAATATGTGCTGGAAACCCCAAGGTTAAAGTGAGAAACACCTCCAAAGATGGTAGAGAATGACCGAGCCAAGATTTTGTGGGACTTCCAGATACATACGGACCGAATGGTAATGGCAAACCAACCGGATAGTGTAATGGTGGACAAAAAGCAGAGGAAAGCCGTTGAGGAAACACCTCACCTGGGAGGCGTCCAGGAGGCATCCTAACCAAAAGCCAGAGCCACCTCAACTGGATCCTCTCAACGTGGAGGAGCAGCCTTTCTAGTTTGAGTAGACTGAGCTCTACCAGATGACTGAGCTCCTCACCCTATCTCGAAGGGATAGGGTGAGGAGGGTGATTTATTATTCTTATAATTAAAAGTAGCATTTAAAGAACTAACAAAAAACATAAACTTCTGAAATAGAGGAAGGCTTCTCACAAGAAAATTCAGATTCAACTTTGTAGAGATTAACAAACATAAATTGCATTGGGGAGCAAAATCTTAATCTGGTTTTTATGGCAGATGATGAGAACATTTTCAAAGTAAAAAAGGGGGAAAAAATGAAGATCAAAGTCATCCCTAACACCAGAGGTCATGTTGAAAAACTGTGAGAAAAAATACATCAAAGTAGTGAAATTTAAGACTTATCCCAAGCTACTAATCAATAAACTTGATCACCTAATTCTGTTCTCTCCTTATTCTGTTTGTAATAAAGCAGGTGAGAGCAGATGAATGTGCATTAAGATATATGGCACTGTGGGAAATAGTATTACCAAGAGAGCTCTCTTTCACTGATTCAGTGTATTGAGTTATTGCAACACATTTGGTAAGGATTTTACAAGACTCAGACTTAGGATAAAAAGAAAGATAATATGGCAGGTCCCACAACGCATTCAGCAGGACTAATTCCTGATTTAAACTGTTTTACTCACACTAAAGGGATCGAGATGAACCAGTCTTAGTATTTTAGGTTCTTTTAGAATTGTCATTATATATGAGAGAGAAGGGTAATAGGGGATTGTTCCAAAGTGTATCACCAACAAGACACGCTTTTTGTAACTTCCCAAAACAAACGGAGGAAGCTGTTCTTAGATTTAGTTAATTTATGACATATCCACAAAAGACACTAATCAGAAGTAAAATGTAATGAAACAATCAGTATAAACCATTCATATAAGAAATAAAGCCGGTACCACTTCAAAGATGTCATCTCAACACAAAATAACTAAAAAAAATTAAAATACAGTAATTTCATTGAGGTCTCAAATAACTAAACAGCAAGAAGGCACAACAGATAATTTAATATTCCCTTAATCAATCAATAAAATTGGTGGGATAAAAATCAGTGACAGGTAAAATTACTTGCATCAGTCAAATCCTCCCTCACATAAGTATGTCATGAATCGCATGACTATGGGAGACTTCTGGTAGATTCATATCATGATTGACTATCCTAGTGGCCCCCATGTTCTAAGGTCCTGTACTGTCTCCAGGAATAGCCTTTTTTGGATTAGACTGCACTCTTTGAGATACTTAAAGCTTTATTTTTATTGCTTAATGGCGTAACCTCGTTTTGGACTTTTACTAAACTCTTTAAAACTGAAATGGTTCAAATGCAAGGTGCCATTTTAAGACTTGTATTTGAAGAGAAAAATAGGTTAGTAAAACAATTTTACTTGAAATTAATCTCCAGTTAATGAGTTGTTATATCAAATAAAATCCACATCAAATATGTTAAAGTTTGTGTTTGCAACATAAAAAACTTTGCAAACTTGAAGACATATAAAGGATTTTGCAAGACACTGTTTAAGAATTTGTTACAGGTCAGAACTAAAGGCCTATAAAACAGTCTTTTAAACAAAACATGTTGAGGATCTTGCTAGGGGATGCTAAATCAAGCGATGCTGTTTTCCACAAAATTATTTTGATGTTTCTTATTTAAACTCTAGATAATGATTGCCGCTTTAAAGAATTTGTGAAACTTTCTCAAGCTCGATCTGACTTGTTTCATCATTCTCTCCATTTTATATTATCTCTTGTCATCTAGTTACCCCTAAGCAATAGCTCCTTTTACTCACTACCTAACCCAGCCCATCTCGCAGTTTGATTTCCCACACATTATGACAGAAATTGCATAACCATTTAAGTGTTTCTTTCCATCTCTTCCTACTTCTTTGCTCTAAATCCATAAAGTATGCTGTTGCTTGTTGGCTTCTATTGCTTAGTGTACTGTGAAAGTCTATTAAACATGATTAAAAACTCTCTTCATGTGTCCACCAGTTTGACAATGATAGGCGGAAATCCAAACAGTACCACTGACTTCAGAATACTAAAATACTTAAATCATTTAGGTCCATTAAATGTGATTTTGAGACTATCTTTAAAATGATGATGTGACCGAGCTGACTAAAGTATTTTCTAAGGATTAGATATCAAATACTTAATAAACTTAATAAAGGTTAAAAAGCTTGTTTAACTCTTTGTTTTTGATCTACCAATCTCAATCACCCAAAAAAATTGACTTATACTGGACAACATAGGGAATATAAATATAATATACTGTAAAATATGATATATAAAATATTTTTCCAGTGCTTCTGGGGAAGATATGTAGCTTACCCTTTAATGAAAAGTGCCCATGTTAACACATTTTTTATTAGAATAAAATCCGGGGGGACGAGTCTGCGGGCTGCGCCGGCAGCCAGCCACCCTGAAGTGGAACCGGCCATGGGCCCCAGGGAACCAAGGCCCCAGGGGCACCCCACGAAGCTGCCCCTCGAAGCAGCCGCCAGGAATGAGCCAGTACCCGCTCGGGCATCCATACCAAAACACTGAGCACCACCAAAGCACAGGCGGGCCAAAACGCCAGCCAGCGGAGGGGGGCAGAATGGGGGGGAGGGGCTCTGCACTTAGCGGAGACTTGACGAACTCTAGAGTTTTTAAATATGAGCAATTCTTTCTTCCCTTGTTTGAAGCAAAATGAAAATCTCTTTATTTCCCTTTTGTTAGGATAATTATCATTGATGATGTGTGAGTTTATTACACCTTAATATTAGCTGCCTGTTGCGTGTCAGAGCTAATGTTTTCCGCAATAGTTTATCTAATTAAGACAGTTCTTCTGTCCGGATATACAGTTACAATCTTCATTCTGTACGTGGCAAACATTTGGGAATGGAATGAGAGTGGTGTCCTTCAGCTAAGAACAAAGTAACATTTTGATAAGGCTTGAGCCATGGATGTCTCCTCATCTGCTAACATGTATGATGTAATGATGTGGCATACTGAAGATGAGTAAAATACCTATTTAACTGTTTATCGGGGTCACGTCTTGGAAGGTGGCCGGGGGGTATGCACCTGCTTATGAAATTATAAGCACCTACTCGGATCTAAGTAACATTATAATTTCTATCAAAATTTGTTTTGGTTATTCAATACAAATAAGTTACGAAGTGTTACTTAAAGAGTTTGTCCCGAGTGATCTCTTTCAGGAAACAGATCTGGAGAGAAAGAGCTCTAAGGTGTAGACACAGAGAGCCTATCTTTAACACTTTAGAGTAAAAACTACTAATAATCCATAAAAAATGACCACAGGCAGATTCTAGCAGGAAAAACTGATTGATAAAAAATAATTTAAGATGTGGTGAGATAAAAATCGGTCCTCATCTACAGGCCAGAAGTTAAACAAATCTTTTTAAAGGCTTGATTATGCAAAGTGTCAAGTGTGCTATTCATTCTTTTCCTTGTGGTTATACATCTTTTCTTCTTTGACCTGAATTTTTCAGTATTATGTCAATCATTTTGTGTATGGTGCTTTTTCT